ATCTCTTCTCAGCTAAAATACTAAAATCTTCCACCAGATAGCAGCACAATGCAAGTATGTCCGAATTAATGAGGTTCATGCACTGTAGCCTTGTAATGGTTTCCTATGCCTGACAGATGGCGATTGGGTATTACATATCGGTCAGCTGTGAGGCTAATTATGGTTAATCGGCTCCAGTTAATACGAAGAGAATGTTTACGTAAGTTGCAGCTCATTTCATAAAACTTCCGCCTAAGTCACAAGTGAAAGATAAGCGAAAATAAGGGTCCATTGTACAAGCACTGACCTCTATTATTGATAAGAAGGTAATTGGAACTAAGTGAAAATCAGTTACCTAACAGTTAACACGTCTTACAGGAATTTACACACATACTTTATCAATCCTGTAGTGTAAACTCACAACAACAACAAAAACCTGATATGGTAGATTAGACTAGCAAACACACTTTACACATGTATTATGTTGAATTAGTCTGGAAGTACAAAACAATAAAACCTTTGTAGCGTTGTTTTATTATTGACAACGTATTTAATTTTCATTTCATTTGTAGGGTAAATCAAATTTAATTGTCAAGAACTCCTATGAACTGGTTGCCATCAGAACATTTTCATAAAATCTGAGCCAATTTTCATTCTCTCATCACATTTACTTTCAGAATTTTGACGTAAATACGTCTATATGGAAGAGTCAGTGTCATTCCGCAAAAAAGGGTAACGAAAAAGTGTAAGAAAAATGTGTAATTTTGTTACCTAGGAAATATCAACAATTTGTAAACATGGACTGACAACAATGTTCAGCTTGCATGCATTGTTATGTTACCTAGGAAACGTCATCTGTTTACTCGGCATTGTTGTGTTTCCTTATTGCTGTCAACAATCCGCTTTCGTTATTGCTGAAAGAACTGAGCTGTGAATCGCTTGTAGAAGAAGTGCGTCGTAGAGTAGACAATTTTAACATTGATTTAAAGAAGGAGGAAAATCAAAGCTTTGTCACATTTATGGAGGAAACGTTTGGCTTAATGTTGATGTCAAATCCTCAGTGTAGTACTACTAGATCAAAATCTTGTACAGATATGGTGTTTGCACGATATGTTGATACTCTAAAATGTACAAATTTTATAACATATTTCAGCTACCACAGACCCATCTCTAGCGTAACTCAAGGTAGGCAGTACTGTCTTACTCAAACTTTAATCAGTTGTAAAGCCTGTATAAAGAAAATATTTAGAATAAAGCCACTATATAAACTTCTTACTGTATAGACGTATTTACGTCAAATTCTCCGGAACCATGGTTCCACTGTAACTTTTTAAAATGTATCCACACATGTTTAGTCACAACCTGATTGTTGTATTCAGTTGGTGTTGCTTTATGTTGTACAAAAGTGTTAATCAGATGCCTCTCACATTTACAAGAGGACTATAAATATGCATTTCGTATAGAGGTTATTAATGGATATGGTAATGCTGCTACAGTGGAATACTGCTAACAGTTTAAAAATTGTAGAGTTCCACACTGAAATGTGTTTTATAATGTACAATGAATTTTTGTGAGATTATTTCCATCCTACAAGTAAATGCAGAATGACAGAAGGCAACATACTTGGCTCTGTTCAGTGAACCCCGCACACAGCAATGGCAAATGTTCTGGTTTGGCCAGTAGTGCCTGCCAGACTACTAAAATCACTGTCATCATTTTCATCATCATCAAAGTACATTTTTTTTTTTGGGGGGGGGGGGGTAAATTATATTGCATTTCTACATGGGTAAAGCTCAGCTTCGTCATGATAGTGTCACCAATAAAAGAAATTTGTACTTGGTCCCACATCATTCTACATAGTGCAGTGTATATTTAAAGCAGGCATTGGTAAACATATGGCATGGAATAGTGAGGAAATAATCTTTTGTTATCTGCATTTCACTGAGGGACAAAGGTGCTTTTTTGACACATTTTTTTGGAAGTTGAATTAACCTTAATTTATAAAATGTTCTCTTCTACGAAGATTAATGTAGCTTTACTCACAAGATGGAGTACCTCCACATTTTGGCTCAGAGGAAACCTAGTACCTTTCAGAATAAAAAGTTTGTTGGATGTTTTCCATCGTCTAATAAAATAATAAAATTGAAGGACATTTCAGAGATGATAGTCTGTCTCCGTCTTTAGGAATACCTACTCTGTTGGGCCCAATCGATAGAGCTAATCCCTATCTATGGACAAGGTAAAAAGTGAAAGTCCCGGACTATAAGATGATCACAACAACATACATCCATGGGATGTAAAATGAAAAAACATTCTCCAAAAAATTATAAAACAAATATAAAATTTAGACGCCTATGATGGAAGTTATGTACAATCAAAGTCCAGCAAACCAAGAAGCCAAAAACTGACAATGAGAGCAACTGAATAAAATAGGAAATTGTTGAAGTTTAATGAGCGAACTTCCCAAAGGCTCAAGTAAAAACAATGATGTCAAAAAAAAAAATTGATTTGTGTTTAGTGCTACACTACACTAGTGCTTAAATTGACAACAATGCTTTGTGATTGATTTAAATCTATAAACTTCAGTCTGTCTGGAAATGGCAATTGTATCAGTAAACTGTGGAGTAAAATTCATTCTAAACAAGGTCTCTTTCCACCAGTTGTTATGTGTTCTTTGCACAAAGTGCACAGGGAGAACATATTGTGGGCTGGCTGTATATGTCTGTCCACCTGTCCAGTCGATTCAAGTCGAGACATTGGATGGATCTAGATAAAATTTGATGTGGACATTGTGCAATTCTGCACATCCTGAAAATCATACTTTTAAATAATCCTACAAATGATAGATGAGGAAAGTCAGGAGGTAGACACTGAGATGCTGTGATCTGGTGGCCAAAGTGGGAACTGTCAAACAAGGCAGATGTAATACCTCTAGATGCATACTGCAAAGAACACATGAGAATACTATGTGTATTCTGGTGTGAAATATAATTTCTGAGCCTGTTAACAACTGATTATATCAACCGAGCCTGAATATGACTATCTCCTGAGATGTTGTGCCATATATTTTGGTAGAAACTGACTGACACTTCAGTGGTCATTTCTACCTCGATCATGAGCAAGTTTCGATATAGGAGCGGGTTGGACAAGGCAGAAGCATAGCCAGACCAATGTATTTGGGGGGGATTGGAGTGAGGACAACACCCAATTCATAATGAACATTTAAGAAGGAAGTAAGATTATAAATGTTTAACTTAGTGAATCATCACTTGTCTGGTCAACAGTGGATTTTCTGTATCTGAATGCATATTTTAGTGATATATGATTTGAAGCTTTTGCAGCAGCATAACTCAATAAAATCTTCCCGGGTGATCAGCCACGTCAGATTGTTCTTTAGAAGAAACCGACAATTCCCCAGAACATTGGTTTCTTCTTTCAACCAGTTGACGCAGCTGATCTCCCAAGATTTTATTAGGAATATTTGAATGATTTGCTATACAGTGTGTGGTTCATCAGTTTGCATATTCCTGACAGTATTTCGTATTGAAATGTAAATGCCTCTCTCATTATTAACTCCACATAATTACACTCTCTAGTTTCGATTGCTTCTGATTTATTCCATGTAGAACTGCACAGCTGAATGTATTGAGTAAATAGCTAATAGAAGTTCACAGTCATGTTCTCTGCACTAAAACGTCTTACTGGGAAGGCAGAAGGTGGCAATAATGTCCCCAGGCCTGGTCATCTATCAATGTCACATAGTCTACAGAGAAAGTTTGCCAAAGGAGTGCACTACAATAGTAAGTATTCCAAAATAATCAAGGTGCTGACACAAATCTGGAATAAGTTGCAATGATCTAATGTGTTTCTTGCTATTATTAATTGTAAATTGCATTTAGAAAGTTGCAGAAATCACATTTTTTGTTGTGTCTGTCAGCCTGCACAAATAATACCCAAATTACTTAACCAATTTCATTGAAACAAGGCATGGTAGGACTATATTAATCTATTTAATGCGTTTTGATTTTCATTTCCTTCAGATTATTTTATAGGCTAGTCTACTAGAAGGGCTAACTGAAATTTTACATGTGCTCTGAGTCCATCAATATTTTTTTTTTTTTTGCATTTATATGACTACTGGCATATGTAAGTTTGTTTCACATCAATTAATTTTAAGGGTCATTTTACTGAAAAGCCTAATTTAACTTTAACATATATCCTTTAAATCAATTAATGTTCCAATGTACTGATCGTTATTTATATTTAATGACTTCTAACTAATATTCATGCACATCACTGTATAGCAATAGTATTTTTATTTTGTATATCTGACAGATGTAGTCTGTTGATTAATACATTTTATTAATACTGGATGAATTTATACTCAATTTAAGTATTTCTTAAACATTTCCAGTGAAGTTAATAATCAAAGGTGACCGAAATGTTGGCAAAACCTGCTTATTTCATAGGCTACAAGGACAGAAATTTATTGAAGAATACATCCCAACAGAAGAGATTCAGGTAAACAATTAGACTATGATGTTACTTTACCCATTAACTTTTTTCTTTGCAGTTTTCATAAACCGTTAATTATTTCTAAAGTTTTCAAGAATCCTAGCTTGACCTTTGATCAGTCTGACACTCCTGCGTTATTGGATTATACCTTATGGAAGTTTTCTTGAAGTGGGTACATGTGGAATGAAGTACATATCTATGATTATAGTGGAATTCTGAAAATCTGACAAATACTAAATTACTTTAAATACGCCTGGAAAGTTCCTTTTCAAACACCACTTTTACACCTGCTCTGTCATTTATAAAACATATTAATCATGAAGCAAAGCACACAATTAAAAGAAGTTAAAAATAAAATGAAACACTGTAATAATGAGACAGCCTTCTACAAATATAAACTAGACATATACTGCTGTACAATATTAAGACATACTCAATTGTCACTTTGCACTGTGTTGAAGGTAGAAGTGAGAAAATTTCTGGTTCAGGTTGCTGTTTAACTCATTCTTTGATTTAATCTCTCCTGTTTCAAATACTATAATATTGCATTCAAATTTGAAATCTCTTAACCTGGTAAATCATTATTTAATGGGGGGTATTTAATAATGGATTAACGAATTTATTGCAGGTGGCCAGTATCCAGTGGAGTTATAAAGCTACTGATGACATAGTGAAAGTAGAAGTGTGGGATGTTGTTGATCGAGGTAAAAAGAAGCGATTTGATGGACTAAAACTTGACAACAGCCAACTTGAGGTGCCTGAAGAGCCTGCTTTAGATGCAGAATTTCTTGATGTGTACAAGGGCACTAATGGTGTCATACTTATGATGGACATTACAAAGAGTTGGTGAGCAAGACAGAATTTAAATGAATTAAAGTGATTTTTGTGAAGCATGTGAAAGAACAATTACCTGAACTCAGGTTTAATAAAATGAAAGTCAGTAAATTATTCAAGGAAATGAATGGAATTGGTAATATTCAGTTTTACTAGCTGCACATTTAACTTCAGAATGAAATCTGTAAAACCTTATTCATGCCATGATTTTTTTTTTTTGCACTTCATTATGTTAGTAACCAAAGTGTAGAAGAATAATTCCATAGACTTCATATAATGTAAACTTATATTGGAATAATTTAATTCACTTTATTTTTCATAGGACATTTGATTACGTGCAGCGTGAGTTACCTAAAGTACCGTCTCACATTCCCGTATTAGTACTTGCTAACCACTGTGACATGGCCCATCACAGGACAGTGACTTCTGATCATGTGACATATTTCATTGAGAGCCAAGAGAGGTAACATCTAATGCCACATAAGAAATGCTTCATTACTAAAAATAATATACTAAACAAACATAACAGTCCAAAATATGTGAATATAAGAAAGTGTTTTTCAGAATATTGCCCCTATCAGTTTTCAGTTATTTTCTATAATTTAAAGTAGAAATGATATTGACAGAACCACTATCACTAAGATGAAACAAAGGAATTAATAGTATGGATAAAAATTATGATGTAAAAGTATTTTTGAATAAAAATTTTCTTGGATATTATCCATCATCTAGTAAATAAAATATAAACGTAAAACGATGTTTCGGAGATGGGGCTCTATCTCCGTCTCCATCATATGTATTTATTCCCACATTTTGTGAGTCTCTGTTTTTATTTGGCTTCTTTCATGTTTAACGAATTGTGTCTACTATTTCTATTTTATTCTTTTACGTCCCACGGATGGATGATGTGGTGATCTTGTATTCCGGGACTTTCACTTTTTAGAACTTTTAGATTTGATATAAAAGAATTTGCCTTAAAGTATGATTTATAATTTTGGGTGTCATATAACATCAAAATGCAATTCCTTTTTCCAGAGCACCAAGGTCAGCTCAAGTCCGCTATGCGGAGTCATCAATGAGAAATGGATTTGGATTAAAACTGTTGCACAAATTTTTCAATTTGCCTTTTCTGCAGTTGCAGAAAGAGACTTTGTTAGGTCAGCTTGAGACAAATGAGCATGAGATTCAGCTCACAACACAAGAACTAGATCTGTATCAGGATAGTGAAGATGCTGACTATAATAAGTGAGTCTGAATGTGATAATAGGAATCTTAAACTTGACATGACCTGTTTTATTTATCCAGAAATAAAGAATAGTCCTATAGAATACTGTATAACCTAAACAGTTAGAATTACGGTATTCTGATTGTTTCTAAAAATTAGGTCAGAGATACAATACTGTTTTATCATAAAGGTAATTTCCTGTAACAAACATTGTAGTAGCAGAACCCAAAGGTTTAACTGTTGGATGGATGCCCTTATTCTTACCAACAGAGTTCTTGTCTGCAAGACCTTTTATGGCAAAAGGGAATTTATTCTGGTATAATCTGGTGGTACGTAATGCATCACATTTGCTAATATGAAACAAGTAAGACAATTTACTGACGAGCTATGATCAAAATTCCAAATTAGATTTTTCACCTGCCCTTTGTATTAAATAATTCATTGAATCAAGTTTTAGAAACTCCTTACTTAGGAAAACATGAATATGTGGAATCCTAAATAAAGAAAACATTCTATTAAAATATGTCGCTGAGAAACCTTTTGAAATGAATTTCATGTGGAACAGAGTACTCACCAAGTGAAGGTGTGACTGATTTGGTTCCTTTCTAGGTTCATTGATAATCTGATGAATAAGCGTCGTCAGGCAGCAGACATGACTTCCAGTGCCATTTCATCAATGGCACCAGCCAACACGAGCACTTCAGCACAAGCTTCTGCTCCTACATTCCAAAGCAACCACCAACTTTCAACACAGTCCTCGCAGACAGGAAATAAAAATGATTCATCATATGACCGAAGAAGTTTGTCAATTCCTGGTCCTATTGGTGCAGGAAACGCAATTCCTGGGACTCACCCTACTTTAGCACTGAAAATTGTTAGTGTTCCAGTTACTTCAGAACAAAATAAACTTCCACAGCCTAGTGGTAATGTTGGCAGCAGCACTGCTGTTAGTAATTCACAGTCTCAGAGTCATGTACCACAACAGCAAATGACACTTTCCCAGTCAGTAGAATCTCTGTCATCCAGTGCAAGGCCAGATGGATCTTCAATGTTCAGCTCAAAAAGCTCAGGTTTCATGTCCAAGATCTTCGGTAAATCTAAGGACAGCCAAGAAGAATTGCAGCGTGAGTTGGGTATTGACATACAGCTTAATTTTTATATTTTTCATTAAAAATAAATAATGGCATAAATTATTAGAAAAATAAATATATAACATATTAATAAAAAACTGCTTTGAAGAAAGTTGTGTCATAATTTTCAATTTCTGTTGGACATTCATTTTAGTAACTCGTAAATCATGAATGGGCCACCATTCCAGTGGAGACATTACAAATGGTATTTCAGACCAGATTTGCCCTTTTAAGGCACACCAAGTACTGCAGTATTCACCGCAGTGTCATGTTAAATTTAAATTGCCTGCGCACAGTCACCTAGATGAAATGAAATGTCTGGTTTGTGTTTCTGTGCATCTTTTTGTTAAAGTGATGAGATACAACAATGCAACAAATATCTTTGTTGTATAAAGTCATGAAGTTGTTATGTATGTCCACTGTACTGGATGTAAAGAGGAATTTGAACTATAATAATTTTGAAAAATTTACTAAATATAAATGTGATGCGCAAGAAGAACTGTGTCTTAGCTCACTTAGACACTTTAAACTAAGAATACAGTACAATGAATTTCCATTCTGGTTACAGTTTATAACCTCTTGCTGACAAGAACAGTTTGTTTTTGTTATGGGTTAGTTTTAAATTATGTGCATAAACAACCAATATGAGTGTTGTAACTTAAAATACTAGGTCTGGAACAAGGAGTGAAGACCATGAAAATATCTCAGCGTAGGTATGGCCAGTCTCTGTGCTCAGTTTTTGAGCCCTGGATTTCAAATAACATGACATGAACATGAAATTGTTGCACCTTGGCACTAATGGAGGTGAGTGGTCAGCTTCATAATTCAACCACTTTTACCGCCACAGAAGGGCTGCCAGAAACATTTGATCAGGGGCCTAGGAGCTGATCTAAGCATAATGGCAAGGAGAAAAGTATTTGTTTCCTGCCAGGAATCAAACACTGGTGTTGACTTAACTGATGGCTAGTCCAGCTTCGTTCATTAGCCATAAAAATGCTTGTGGCAAAGGATCATATTTTGCGTAGGTAGGGTCTTGTCTGTTCTATTTAAATGTTTGTCCTGTGTTCATTAGCACAAATGAGGAGACAAAGCCTTGCATCCATTGCTACTTCTGAACCCATAACAAGCGTGGAAGAATTTGTACCTGATGAAGGAATGCTAGACAGGTCATTCTTGGAAGATACGAGCGTTCAGGAACGAGGCACTCCACAGAAAATTGAAGCAGAATCAGATAGGTAATTATTTACTGCTAGAATAGAAGCGAGTGAGAACCCTCCTTAGTACAAAATACATTTTTCTGAGTAAGTGTAGGCAGTAAAAGTGAAGAGATCAACATCGTTACTTAATTATGCTGTCAGTATTTTGAAATGTTTGTGTAACTTGTAACAAAACTTCACGGTTTCACTTGTATGCAAATACCGTAAATCAGAATCTGAACCTCAAAACTCCAACTTTTAGACTTAAATTGGCCAGACAGTAAGCCATTTTACTTGAATGCTAAAATTAATTTTTACTCCAAGTCCTCTGCACTCATATCTTGTCTGTTTTATAATATTAGTTTGTAATTGGATGGCAATTAATAGGTTACGAGATTTAATGTTAAAATCAAGGACGTTTATATTGTGGCCATTGTTGTTGTTATATATTTAACATATCAAACGAATCCTATATAATAATTGAATATTGCATTTACAGTGATGCTGAAACTGGCAATCCATTAGTTGCTGGTTTCCAGGATGATCTTGACCCAGAAGATACTTTGCCAAACACCATCACCCATTATGTCAACAGTGATCATACTGTAGACATACTGAAAAAAAGAGAATCTCTATCCAGCTTAGAAAATGAGGTCATAAGCGAGAATACAAAGACTGATGAAAAGGAAGAACTTCACTTGAATGGTGAAGTAGGGGATATTACTGCAGATGCATTAGATACTTGGTTAAGTACCGACAGCAAGTGGCGACAGAGTCCAGAAGGTGGTGAAGACAGTACCCATAGCAGCAATATTGTGAGAAAAGTTGAAGAGGCAGAGGAAGAGGATGAGGACAACAGTGCTAGTCTAGCATCATCCAGTGTGCATTTGGAACTGTTGGAACCAAAGCAACTGCAGCAGAGCTCTGGCAGTTCAAGTCCTATTGTTCCCAGGGAAAAGAAGAGCAGGCATAAAAAGAAGGTACACGTCAACCTCTGTAGTAAACAGAAATTGGTCTGAGGCTTTACAAATAATAACAGTACTATAAAAATGTTCAGCACGGTAGTTTGTGACTTGACCAAAAATGTTATAATTTGTAACAACACAAAGAAAGATAACTTAAGGTAAATATATTAAACCACATAAATCTTGTATTAAAAATTTTGCCAAGTGCCAGTAATTTGACATGCACATCAGTCTATCAGACCTTTACATTATTGATGCTAGTGTAGATTCAAAATTAAAATACATATCTTTTATATCAAATAAGCACAACTATCTAAGTGAGAAGTAGTTTTATTATTGAGGAGAATATTATGAAAATAAATAAAATGCTTGTATTAATGAACAATGTTCATAAGGGTTTTGTAACTTTCTCCACATGAGTTTTATTATAGAATGAAGAGAAAAGTATGAAGAAATACAAGAAAAAAAGTAGCAAGGAGAAGGATTCCAGTAAGTCTCAGAATGATGAGAAAAAGAAAAAGAAGAAACCAAGTCGTAAAATTTGTGAAGATGAACAAGAACATGATGAATTAGAAGAATTTCTTAATGGGCCAGGATTAACACCCGTTGATACAGCTTATGAAGCCATCTAGCATATGGTTGTGATTATCAGTGAATTAAGAAAAAGGTAGGTATGTGAATTTGTTATACCAAAGATTTTGAGAGTAAATGATGCCCATGTGCACCATGTGGAGACTTTGAGAAAAGATTACTCTTTACCACAGAAATTCTGTTACATATATATCAGCAGCGGAATTGTCTTAGAATACATATATTTCATAATGGCCAAAAAAATATCTTCGTTATGTTACTGGTGATAGAGCATGCTTAGTTACAGGCATGTTAACTTCAACCCTGTTGAAAAGATCAACTTAATGAACTTCAGGAAGTTCCATAAATGAACACCTTGCATTGACTACATTCAGGTAATAACAGTATAATATTTTGCAGGTCCACAAGGTTTGTTGAAGGCCAAGAAGTGTAGAAGAGGCTTTCAGCTAGGAACAGAACTACCGAGAATCTTACTCTGCTGTTTCAACATGCTTGTAACAGAAGTTCTTGTACATACGCCTGGTACTTTGTTTTCTAATTATTTGTAAACATATAGTATATAATTTTATAAGTGCTCTAATATCTTTGTTGATATGTAACTTCCTAATGCTGTTTTCAGTCTAAATTTTAAATAATGTACAGTGCAGTTTAACTACATATATAATACAATACTTGTTCCTTTCAGATGAAATTAATTGTTAATAACCAGTATCGATAAAGCATTTTGTAACGCAGTGTTTTAAAGTATTCTAAATATTTTTATGCATTCAATTGTCAATTAATGACCACTATGTTTCAGTGCCTCTTTCATGAATATTGTTAATGTGTTTTGCTCATCTGATTGGTGAATACATTGACAAATGAGTAAGTTAAGCCAAGCAACTTATTATCTAAAAGCCCTTGGCTCTTACATTCCTACTTCTCACATCCTTCAAGAAAATCCACTTATCAAAACTTTCACTAAGGTTGGCAGAAAAGGGCTCTGAATGTCTGGTCTACAATCACTTGTTAAACTTACATTTTAATTATCTCAAAACTAATTTCCAGTTGTTACAACATAAAATTTACTTATAACGGGACCCGGTCAATTGTCACCCTATGTTTTGGCTCTGGTATGCAATATAATGGTGAGCCCTTCTTTGACATCTTGGCCAAAATATTAGGTATACATAGTCCATTGTTTCTTTATGATACACAGTTTTATTTTCCACTTTCTTTACTGTTACTTTGTAAGTCCAGTAAACGAAACCTTCCTTCATTTCACTGTTGTAGCTCAGTTGGTAGCGTGAATGCCTATGGTGCAGGAAACTTGTGTTCAGTTCCTAAGTAAGCTTTTCTTTTCTTAAATGTCTTTCAATTTCTCTCTTTTCTGTATTCTTTTATTTTCATTCTTGCATAATTTTTTCCACAAGATACCCCACTTTGAGTTCTCAGAGCAAAGAACTGTCCTTCAGGTCCCTCTTGTTCCTATGGTTCAAAACCATATGGTTGGTTAAAATCATAAATTTAATTCCATTTCATACCATGCTTGTATAAGGTATGGTGCATATAGCACTGATTCCATGTGGGTTCACTTCAAGCTAGAATGTATTCTATACTGTTACAATTGTAATTACTGTAAATTGTTCTGGTTACTGCACTTGAAAACCATCGAAGAATAATACTTTATATAATTGTTCAATGTTGATCATCCTTTCTTTTGGTTTCATATTTAATTCACACTCATCCACATAGTACATGTAACATACTGTCCACTGTGGCCTTTTCTTCTTCTTCTTATGTTCATTGCTTCATGACGGGCAATTCATTGCACACACTATTCAAGGACTGTCTTTGAACTGTGCATCACTCAGACTCAAAACTGAACTGTCAGTCCACACGGATGACTTAGTCACTTGGTACTGTTCATTCACTGCTTTACCATCACTTAAAGCTGCTGCAACTACCTTAGATAAACCCAATAACTGTGTCTCAAACTTCACACCAGCTTTGGAATTATTCATTTATGCTCAGGTAGCATGGCCAAATTTCCTAGATCACACATAGCCAACTGGCTGCTTGGAGCTCACTATGAGGGGCAACTGCCACAGTGGTCTAGCATTTAGAACGCTGGGCTTGTAATACTGGGGTCCCGGGTTCGATTCCCGGCGGTGCTCAGATTTACAACTTGTGTTCGGCAACTCCGTGGTCTAGGTATCACGGGAGTTTTCCCCCGGGGCATCCCAACAATTACTCCACTTTCATCATCGTCTCACAAAAAGGGGGTCACAAGAGCGTTAAATGTCACGGTCCCGATCGAACCCATGTACTGATGGGTCGTGAATCCTGCTAACCACCAATGCACACCATGCTGAATGGTGTGTACTGGACACAAAAAAACTATGAGGGGTTGTGGGGAGGGCAACAACTCTCTCAGATAATCACGAAACAGTCAAGGTCTTGTAACTATACACCAATTAAATAAAGGCAAGCAAGCAGTGGAGAAAGTGTGACACATTTGTGTAAACATGTTCAAAATGTATGAACTCCCAAATTTTTAAACTCAGGTTTCAACTATCACTTTTAACTCTAAACTTGTTGATAATTTTTATTTGTAACCACAGCCATACCATTCTGGAGTCTACCCAACCTTGTTTTCCCAGCCATAAAGTAGCCTAAGCACAAAATTGACCGTACATTATCTCTATCCTCTATGTAGCGCTTAAGTTAGTGTATGGAGCTTTATCTCCACTTCTCTGGCTGACTTCATTGCATGGTACGTAAGGGAAGTTTATGGTTTTAATTGAATCAAATTTGTTTTGTTTATGAGATCAACATGATGCTTGGGTAGGTAGCTTATATACTTTGACTAAGTACCAAGGCACTAATTTTTAAGAAGTGGTCTCTCAGAAAGTATCAAGTGAAAACATATTCATGAACAAAAAGAATGCTGTGAACTCCTTCAGTTTCAAATGTGTTTATGCAAATATTCATAAATATATAATAAGCTTCAGTCTCCAAACACATGAAAAATATTTAGGTACTGAATGTATTCAGGATATGCAGAAAATAAAAATCTTAAATTTGGAACAAACTTGATTAATAATCTTTTATATTAGTCATGAAAGCATCTGGTGGTTATACTTCAGGATTCCTTGGTCTACATTATGAAGTATGTATTTGAATTCCACACATCCTTTTCCAAAACTTTTGATTTGAATATCAAAGTGCATATCATGTTCAAAGACTGCCTTTATTTATGGTGCCCTCAGTTTTTGCCAAACTTCATATGTCAACAGTTAGTATTTGAGTCTTGGTTTCTCTTGTATGTCACTTTTCACACGCTTAGTTCACTAACCAATCATTACGATAACATGTTTTTTTTTTCGTCCAATGTGGCCATCATCAGGTTAAAATTCTTGTTTTTATGTCATTGCACTGGGGATCATATTACCTAATACTGATGTCAAGAAATAATAACATGTTAAAATGCAAAAAAAAGATGTTTAGTTTTTGATTCTCCCCCAGTGTGTTCTTTTATTTGAGTTGAATATGTTATGGTAGGTCATTGTAGAAACTATGATGATACACCATAACACAGTTAAAAAAATTACAAATTTTTAAAATGTTTTACATTTTTAACCTTTTAACTAATTTAAAATGTTTTAACATTTATCATTATTTCTTGATATCAGGAAGAGATAATATGATCCCCAATGCAATGACATAAAAGCTGTGAACTGAACCTGATGATGGTCAGACTGGACCAAAACATGGCATTCTAGTGGATGGATAATGAACTGAGTGTGTGAAAAGTGATGTACAAGAAAAATCAATAATCAGTGTAACACACTGGGATGCTACACTACAGACTTGAGTTAATATTTGACTTGGCTATAGTAGTAAGTGAACAAAGGCATAGAATGTAAGCCATATAAATATTGTTAAAAATATATTTATACAATGTTTCAAACAAGGAATATGCATGTTTTTACAATACTTGAAACTTGTAACTCCAAGAAAGGATTCACATTGAGAGTCGGCATGGACTGAACCACAATACATATTTGTTTGAATTAAGGTATCTGTAGTTGACATCTGAATTTTTCAGCATGTAATGTAATGATAATGGAAGGCTAATGACATAATCATAACTAATGCTCTACATGGAGCACAGTGCTTCTTGATAAGCTTGTCAATGATGATCAAACTGCTACAGATCTATCAATACATTGACAATATGTTTAAAACAGAGTTGTAGCTGTGAAGTCAGTTAAAGTTTTACACTGTGTTACTTGATGCAGCTTATCCCTTGTATTAATATTACACATGCGTATTAAGTTAAATAAAATCTTGTCAGTGGAATTTTAATGGTTGAATAGTGCAATAACATGTAGGGAATAGTTAATGGTACTTACATTTTATTGTACTGTAACACGACTGTCTTCTGCAATGTTGCACCATGTAGCCTCGAAGAACACAGGTGCTTACTGCCTCCGTCATCCGGGTAAATTTAAAATGTGTATATAAAGAACAAATTAAACGTGAACTGTTACCGCCAATACGGTTTATAGTAGTGTGACTACCACTGAAGATAGATGGCAGCACTATATATATATGTCATACCTAAGGTGCCAACTTTTAAACATTCACTTATCAACCCTTATGTTGGTATTAATGAACGTATGTCGCATATTCTGTGAACTATGCTCGGGCCGGTTCGGCTGCTACAACGTTGTTGTGTAAGTGTTCATGGCGAATATTAATTCTGTGTAACTAAGCACACGAAAAACGAAAGCATTGCAGCTTTCTCTGGAGTGGAAGGGCTGGAATGGCGATTTGCTTAAGGACTGTTTCTAGTAAACTTAAACCAACAAGTAAATTTGTTCCCTCTCGTAAACATGTGGGTTTGGCGCACCTTCAAAGACAACTTACACAGCACATATCAAAGTCACAATTTTTGGAAGAAGTAAGTAATAATAAATTACAAGTTTTCAACTTTAGTTATATATATTTCATGACTTTCGATAATGTTGAATGTTGATGAGATAAATATGTTAATTTTAATGGACGTACATAACCTAGATTTTCTGTATTTTTAGTTTTTGGAATCTCGATGCATGGCCAGTGCACCAATGACCTCAGTGAAGAATCTGCCTCAAGCAAGACGACCACAGTGGTGTTCTCACTCCGTCTCTTCAAACGGTTTTGAAGAATTAAATAGGATTTGTGAGGCCAAAGCAGAATCTGTGATTTGCAGGCAATCAATTGAAAGAAAAGGAACTGATAAGGCAGTGGTACTTCGTCCGGTCGTAATTTCAATTGAGAGAGACATTTCTGCACAACCAGATTCAGCATTACATTCTTTTAATCCCTTAGAAGTGGGTGTTAGGCCATTTGAAATGACACAAGATGATATAATTCTTTGGAATGAAGGAGGTAGTACAGAGATCATGGATATAGAGGAGGAAAATGTTTTCTGTGTAAAATATGCATCGGGAATTCATTTTAAGGATGAACGATTGATAATGCTGTCAGATTTTGAGAAGCAAATGATAATATTAGCAAATGCAAACAACAGAAAGACCCCAGACTATCAGATGGGTTCAGATAAGAAGCCATCACAAGAACAGCTTGATAAAGTTTATAATGTTCTAAGATTAACAGTAAGTAAAAGAATCCACAGAGTTATGTTAGCTTTAAGTGACAGGAGCATGTTTAACAGTATTATTATTCCTGCAATTATCTGGAGGGTGTTAGGAAAACCATGTTTCTGTTTGTGGCCTCAACTTGCCAAGTATACTATACCCCACATCTGTATTTATAGACTTATTAAATTAATATAAATTATAAGAAAGTGTGGCCGGGGCGTGATGCTGACCACTTACCCTTATCTAGTGCCAAGGTCAAGAATGAGTAGGAGCTATACCTTCTCTGCTCCAAAGTGCCTACATGGCATATAGTGTGACAGCTTTATGTTTATAAGACTGCAAACATACAGGTGTAGAAAGTAATAATTTAAATTGCATTTCATAAAGCACAAATGTAATTTCTTCTAGCTCCCAAATCTGTTCATACAACCACTGGACTACACTATATACCATCAAGACATTGTATTTGAAAACAATATACGGGGCACAAGAACTGTGTAAGTATATTGTGATATGTAAATTTCTGATTCTTAACTTAATAACATGGCAGGTGAATGGGATAGATGTTTGAGGTCATAATGTTTATGGGTGAATCCTTACAAAGATATTTGAATTTAGTTACACCAACTATAACATGGCTCTTGTGGGAAATAGTAACTCACCTTCATTCACTCACCTCACATTTCACTCTCAGTCATGATGGAAAGCAACTTAAGTGATGGTTCGGTATTCAAATATTATTATCAATATGACATTTTATGCTAAAATAGTATGTTGGCAAAGCTAATTCCTTTAAATAAGAACATAATGTGATAATTACTTGACCGCATTTAATGATACATAGTTTCTGCTATGCATTATACAGAGAGGACCTGAGGTAAAGAGAAGTGAAAGCACACTGTTGACTGGAAAAGTGATCAGTTGACAGTTTACTTTCTAGCACACTTTGCCTCATCAGATATCCTCATGTATAGTTTTGTAACTGACATCAAGACCAATACTTGCAGTTCCTGAACTTACAACAGTCCTAGTAAGAGTAAATTATGTAATTGGAGGGACTCAGTCAATGAAGTACCAACTTTTAAACATTCACTTATCAACCCTTATGTTGGTATTAATGAACGTATGTCGCATATTCTGTGAACTATGCTCGGGCCGGTTCGGCTGCTACAACGTTGTTGTGTAAGTGTTCATGGCGAATATTAATTCTGTGTAACTAAGCACACGAAAAACGAAAGCATTGCAGCTTTCTCTGGAGTGGAAGGGCTGGAATGGCGATTTGCTTAAGGACTGTTTCTAGTAAACTTAAACCAACAAGTAAATTTGTTCCCTCTCGTAAACATGTGGGTTTGGCGCACCTTCAAAGACAACTTACACAGCACATATCAAAGTCACAATTTTTGGAAGAAGTAAGTAATAATAAATTACAAGTTTTCAACTTTAGTTATATATATTTCATGACTTTCGATAATGTTGAATGTTGATGAGATAAATATGTTAATTTTAATGGACGTACATAACCTAGATTTTCTGTATTTTTAGTTTTTGGAATCTCGATGCATGGCCAGTGCACCAATGACCTCAGTGAAGAATCTGCCTCAAGCAAGACGACCACAGTGGTGTTCTCACTCCGTCTCTTCAAACGGTTTTGAAGAATTAAATAGGATTTGTGAGGCCAAAGCAGAATCTGTGATTTGCAGGCAATCAATTGAAAGAAAAGGAACTGATAAGGCAGTGGTACTTCGTCCGGTCGTAATTTCAATTGAGAGAGACATTTCTGCACAACCAGATTCAGCATTACATTCTTTTAATCCCTTAGAAGTGGGTGTTAGGCCATTTGAAATGACACAAGATGATATAATTCTTTGGAATGAAGGAGGTAGTACAGAGATCATGGATATAGAGGAGGAAAATGTTTTCTGTGTAAAATATGCATCGGGAATTCATTTTAAGGATGAACGATTGATAATGCTGTCAGATTTTGAGAAGCAAATGATAATATTAGCAAATGCAAACAACAGAAAGACCCCAGACTATCAGATGGGTTCAGATAAGAAGCCATCACAAGAACAGCTTGATAAAGTTTATAATGTTCTAAGATTAACAGTAAGTAAAAGAATCCACAGAGTTATGTTAGCTTTAAGTGACAGGAGCATGTTTAACAGTATTATTATTCCTGCAATTATCTGGAGGGTGTTAGGAAAACCATGTTTCTGTTTGTGGCCTCAACTTGCCAAGTATACTATACCCCACATCTGTATTTATAGACTTATTAAATTAATATAAATTATAAGAAAGTGTGGCCGGGGCGTGATGCTGACCACTTACCCTTATCTAGTGCCAAGGTCAAGAATGAGTAGGAGCTATACCTTCTCTGCTCCAAAGTGCCTACATGGCATATAGTGTGACAGCTTTATGTTTATAAGACTGCAAACATACAGGTGTAGAAAGTAATAATTTAAATTGCATTTCATAAAGCACAAATGTAATTTCTTCTAGCTCCCAAATCTGTTCATACAACCACTGGACTACACTATATACCATCAAGACATTGTATTTGAAAACAATATACGGGGCACAAGAACTGTGTAAGTATATTGTGATATGTAAATTTCTGATTCTTAACTTAATAACATGGCAGGTGAATGGGATAGATGTTTGAGGTCATAATGTTTATGGGTGAATCCTTACAAAGATATTTGAATTTAGTTACACCAACTATAACATGGCTCTTGTGGGAAATAGTAACTCACCTTCATTCACTCACCTCACATTTCACTCTCAGTCATGATGGAAAGCAACTTAAGTGATGGTTCGGTATTCAAATATTATTATCAATATGACATTTTATGCTAAAATAGTATGTTGGCAAAGCTAATTCCTTTAAATAAGAACATAATGTGATAATTACTTGACCGCATTTAATGATACATAGTTTCTGCTATGCATTATACAGAGAGGACCTGAGGTAAAGAGAAGTGAAAGCACACTGTTGACTGGAAAAGTGATCAGTTGACAGTTTACTTTCTAGCACACTTTGCCTCATCAGATATCCTCATGTATAGTTTTGTAACTGACATCAAGACCAATACTTGCAGTTCCTGAACTTACAACAGTCCTAGTAAGAGTAAATTATGTAATTGGAGGGACTCAGTCAATGAAGTACATATGATTTTTTAATGTTCAAATAACTTTGGTTTTAGAAATTTGCATAATTTTTTAATTAAAAGTTGTCATCTATTATTCAAACTGATGTGTGTGTGTGTGTGTCTGAAAAGCAAAAAAAATTGTGTCTGTTATTTTGGACAGGTGTGAAACGTTGCCATTTATTTTAAGGAAAGAACAAAAATGACAGTTATTGGAAGAAAGTATGTAGGTCTACTTAGAAAAACATATGGGTTATAGAAGTCAATTGATGTTGTCAGGAAAGTAAAACCTTCAAGGCTAGATGAGACATACGGAATTTTAGTGAGGAAACCTCTGGTAAATGGCTACTTGGAAGATGGCTAGAGATGGAAAGTGGGTCTTGGGGAAATAGGTTGTGAGGAGGGGATGTGGATAGTACAGACTCTGGATTGTGTTGTGCTGTGTTGAAACTTGGTTTCTACTACCAGAGAATTGTTTGGTTTGTTAAATGATTTTCATTTTTAAATTGATTTAGTAATGTAAATATTGCTAATATTTTTGTGTGTTTAAAGGTAGAATAAACTGTCACTTGAATAACTTCATGCAGGCAGGAGTGGAGTGGTGTAGTGTTCAGCTATTTCTTTTGTTGAATATTCTTGTACTTTTTGCAGTGGCCTTTACCGTTATGTGAAACAGGTTGCACTGTTACGAACTGTTGGTCATCTGAAATTTGCATATGTGAAATTTGAGATTTTGAAAATAACCATGCATCCAGAAGATTGCACTGTGAAAATTCGCTGGCGAATAAGGGGCATCTCAAGTTTAAAGGTATCCATATATTTATATCATTTATGTACACATAGATACAGGTATATATAATAACAATAAATTTGCCACCAACACTCCTTGGTCAGATCTGTTGTAATGTCACAAAAGTATGAAGCATACATCTATAGTATGCAATTTGCCTTTCTTAAACCCTCAAGGTCCTAGCTACAGGATTTTGTAAACCGCATGACAAGTAAAAATACACCTGAAAATAAAAATGTTCAATGTACTGCTTACACCACTTTAAATGCGAATCTTGGCCATGGTGACAAAGTGTGGCACTATAATGGGGTTTGAATATTTTTCTACATATCTGAATTCAGTTCAAAATAATTATTTGATTTTATGAAAAAATAATTTCGTTATGAAATCTAACTTAACCAATTTCGTATTGCAGTTAAGTTGTGCATGACATACTTTCACTGCTGAAGTTTGTACAAAGTTTGATAAGTAGCAAAATTGAATTTGTATCTCAGTTAATTCTCATACTGCACAGGTACACTGTGATGATGAACACATTCTGACATGTTACTGAATGTCCATATACTGTGAAGTCATCACCAGTGTCTAAATTTGTACTGTTTATGTTGCTTACTATTTAATGATGTACAGAACAGTACATGTGACTTCAGTTTTTTTACAAGAAGATTGAAAAGACAGATCAAAACTTATCAGCTGACGTATGCAGCATTTGGAGATGAAAAGCTGAGCTGGGTACAATTTGTAAGTTTTTGTGTCATTTTAAAGAGGACAAATGCCTGTCAAAAGTAATGATCATCCTGGACAACCAGCAGAAATGATGACCTGGTAGTTGAAGATACTGGGAACGACCCATTCTTCAAGTGCCTGAGCACTGCGGGTCCCAACTTTTTCGTTGGCTTGATCTATAGACATTTGGTAGGACTCCTTGGACGAAGGATCGGCCCGTCGCAAGGCCTCTACCTTTACACAGGACAGCCCAACACAGAAGAATGCGGACAGACATCCATGGCTTGAGTGGGATTCGAACCCAGGGTCCCAGCGACCAATCAACACGAAGGCCCACGCCTCAGACCGCGCGGCCACTGCGGACCCCGGTAGTTGAAGAGCATGATTTAATGCAAAATGACATAAGATTGATTGTTTTTGAAATGACTGGAGAGGTAGGAATTTTTTATGGCTTGTGTCTTAAAAAAAATATCATGACATGGTGAAATATGGGTCTAGTGCTATATCCATGAAACTAAACAGCAGTCATCACAACAGTTACCCTTCCTCTCAGCAACTGAGGAATCATGCAGCGAAACCAAAGTGAAGCCGGTTGTTTTCTCTGATTATGATGGTGGTGTCAACTATAAGTACACTCTACAAGGTCAGACAGTTAACTGATGTTTCTATTTACACATGTTAAAGAATATTCGAGGCCAGAATGGATCAACAAGTACCCTAACTCCTTGACTGCTAGATGATGATGATAATAAAATACATTTCTGTGATGCAGTAAATGACTGTAAAAGTGGACATGCATCAATTGGCTAAAAGCGGTGTTTCACAAATAATAAGAGTTCCATACTCACCAGTTATCACTCAGTGTAAGTTGCTGCTGTTTCTAAACTAAACCTTATAAAAGAAAGAAATAAAAGATTGAAAGGCAAAATATTTGACGATGTGAAAACAAAGGAACAGGATAACTACTGAGTTCAAAAAATTGAGTTTCAGAGGTGCTACTAGCATAGGCAAGAAGAGTAGAACAAGTAAGTGTGTCTGTCTGAAGGAGCCTGGTTTGAAGGGATTTATCACCCCATCCTTGTAAGTATGGTACCTTAGTTTTCACAGATTCAGTCACAATACTTTCTGGTCAGGCCTCATAAATGTGTGGACCTGACATGGCACGAAATAAAAAAAATCATATTTTGAAGCTTAAAATTTCTTATTTTTCTTGACATCTCAGAAATAGTAGATTTGCTGACAAAAATTGCCATTGCATTTAAGAAATGCTTGTCTTGTTTATATATATTCTCTTAAATTTCAGGTCATATTTATGTTTTGGAAGTACAAATTTTGGAAACCCAAGGAAATGCTTGATAACCAAGAACTGTGAGTCTTATTTTTCTGTTATAGAGATAGGATAAACTATAATTTCAGCTTATCAATTGTTTTGTTAATATAATATTTATTTCCAGGTGGTATGATGGCTTTTCTACGTTCTACATTGGAGGAGATGGATTAGTATACAGGCATATTGCAGATAAGGTATTTGGAATGTGATATGGAAAAGTTTTCTTCAAATCTTACCATTAGTGATTGTAACAATAATTTTAGCAAAAGATGTGAAGGTCTTGTACTGTACAAAGGAGGCACTCAAAAGTTCAGTAAAGAGTGATAAATGATTACATGGCTTTTCTTTCAAAATTGGTTATCAGAAAATATGGTATTACTTTAATTCAAGATATTTATCACAGTTATTTAAAACTCTTTCTGATAATTATTTTATAAAACTTTTGAAACTCTCACACCCTAACAGAAGAACACAGATTAAAAATGCTTAAGAACAGACTTTCAAGGATAGTATTTAGACCTAAGAAAGAGAATGTTATACAATGGTTGTGTTTTTCTGCAAATGTTATTGGGGCAATCAGATCAAGGAGGATGAGCTGGGCAGCATATATAGCATGCATGAGGAGGTGAGAAATACATACAAAATTTTTGTGAAAGAATTTGAATAGATGAGATTTAAAAAATGGTGTGGACTAGATTAAATAAAAACCCCATGAAGCAGAGTCCTTCATGAAAAGTTAATAGTTGCTGAGACTCAAGAAATTTCCGACCTGTTACAAAACCCCAAAGTTCTTTACCTTGTTCATGATATATATATGTATAAAACAACTCTAGGATTTGGGTATTCAGACCAGTGAGTCCAAAGATGGCTGTCTTCTGGATTGTAGCACCACGTAGTCTGGTAGAAGTTTACCAATATTTCAGAGATCCTTGCTGCCTCCATCATCAGGGTAATGATGATGGATGCAGCAGGGACCTCTGAAACACTGGTAAACTTCTGCCAGACTACGTGGTGCTACAACCCATAAGACAGCCATCTTCAGACTCTTTGTCTGGATTAATTTTAATTTAATAGTGGCCTTTGTTACAAACATTTGTTGATCAATTTAATTTTGGCCCATTTTGATAGTTCAGTCTGTCTCTTTACAAAACAGCCTCAGTATTCTTTTGAACATATGTTCTTAAATTGTAACTATACTGAAATACCATAAAGTATATATTTTATGCCCTATAAATTTTGTTCATTAAACTTACTCTTCCTGAGAAAATTTGCTATATTTGTACTACATTCATACCTCATGTATATTTTCTTAATAATTCCTTTTAAGGTATTTCCTGTTTAGTTGAAATTAATATGTAATTTGCAGTTCAGATTACATACTTCTTTATTACTGGAACTGGCCCAAAAATTGGAAGACATAGTTAGTCACAGAATATTAATACTATTACAAATGATGTCTGTATTTTTACCTGTAATTGCAGATGATGCCAGATAGTGACACAGCAACCAACGTGAAGAGTACTGACTTAGCAGCAAAACTGGCTCTCTGCTTGGGCCTCTTGTCACGACCAAACACACCTGATTTTTCACCATTATTTTCAGCATTTAGCAAACTGGAGAAGACTTCCCAGTGTCTATCTGACATGATGCTACCTTTAGAGAAAATAGAGTGAAATTTGCATTATCAGTGAATACCATTAGGAGTGTGCATGCTACTTATCATCTTTTACAACTGTGAATACATGTAGTTTTGTTCACATATCTTACACAGGTTTAATATGCTTAATTAATAGTGGATCGCTTCTGTTGCTAATTTAAAACTAAGGTGTACACGATTTTTTTTAATCCATCTGTATAACACATTATAATTTGATTCGTATTGTTGAAAGATTGTAGTTGTATTAAATGTTGTTTTTTGGGAAATGTTCCTTCTATCATACAATATGTAGGGGCCCCCCCCCCCCACATATTAAGAAACAGTTTGTTGCAATCTTTCTCATAAATTGGAACTAAGTTCTTAACACAAATTGGTTAAACTGATGAATATAGCATGTTTGAAAATGCAATATATTTGTTTTGAAACTTAAATTATGAACGTTATTAGTAAAATTATGTGCAACTTTTCCAATATATTGAAAAACAAGAGGTAATAGTAATTTAGAATAAGTTCTATATGTTATTAACGTGTTGTACTTTAAAATGAATATGCAAACCATAAAATAATATTTTTGAAATAAACACTTGAATTAAAGTGAATAAAAAACATATTTGGGTTTAATAGAACTTTAGAATACTATGTACACAATATATGTGATGCTGCAATAGAAGATGCATACACTTTGATAAGACAAATGTAAACCTATAATCATAAAGAGTTACTACCAAATAAAGCTAGCACACTCTTAATCTGAAGTGGTTCCTTTCTAGCAGAGTTTAGTTTCAGGCGACTGAAAATATGATACAAATGTATGGTCCTTTGCAGTAACCTAATAAATGGCAATGGTTAGCCCAGTATTTCATACTTCACTGATGCAACAATTGATTATTTCTGCATGTCATTATTGTATACTTGATTAAGTTGTATGTTTCATAGTAATACCATTACAGCCTATTGAAACTGCCCTTGGATTATGCCATCAAAGATATCCAGGGAGTAATGTGAAAATCACAAACTTCTGTTGCATTTTTAACTGACCATGTTTATATATCCTGCTATAAAACTAAAATTGTTTTCACAGCAGTGAGTCGGAAGATGGCTGTCATCTGGGTTGTTGTACCACGTAATCTGGTAGAAGTTTACTGACGTTTTAGAGGTCCTTCCTGCCTCCATCATCAGGGTGATCGCCCTGATGATGGAGGCAGCAAGGACCTCTGAAACGTCAGTAAACCTTTACCAGACTACATGGCACAAGCCAGAAGACACCCTTCGTCAGATTTTTGCAATGTTACATTTTAATACACTTCCTATTATCATGAGATGTGTATGTCATACTGGATCACATTTGTATTATTTATTTAAATTATTCTGATGGAATCGTAGTAATTGCAGTACCGCTGTTAGTTGTTATCATGTTGTAAAGAGCGTTTATTATTTCAACAGTGAATGTAAAAAGGATATGACTTTTTAAGTTGATTATCATTGTTGAAATGTTAATCTGTTTCTTAAATTATATAATTGTAAATATAGAAAATAAAGTGCTGTTGTGATGCATTGTATATAACCTTATTTGATTTTATTTGTACAACTCCCATCCCTTGTTTTTTAAGTTGATATGATTTCATTTCCTAATGCATACAGTGAAAAACACTTCATATTCTAAAAATGATGATCTTTATATTATTTTCTTGCTTTTAAGTTCTTTAACTGCAGACTAAATATTACAAGCCTACAATGCCTATAGTAATTCTACTTTCATGTAACTTGTCACCAGATTTATCAAAAACAGCTCGCTGTACAAAAATAGACACATTATATCAAACATATACTTGGTATATCATTAACATCTGTTACTTCTGAAATGCTTTTCTATTTGCTGTACATTAGTTATATGGGGTCTCATGAAATGTCTGGAAGATTTTGGGTGGTTATTCGTTGGCTTTTCAGTTAAAATGTATCGTGTAAAAATCTTAACTGTTGTGCTCTTATGGTGGATGGAAACGGAAGAGAGAGAAATCAAACGTGCAAATTACATTACTTTGAAGAAATGAATCGGTTCCACAGGAATGATATTCTAGTCATGTTTATCATGCATTGTGCAATAACATACATACTTCAGCAGCTTGCTGTTTGGAAAGACTGTCTGCCTTGGTTATGCAAAAGAGAGCTCATTTAGAAACAGCATATTGCTTTCCATATGCATTCATGAATGTTCCTTATGAAAGCAGCACACAATAATATGTATTATTATTGCCACAGAGGAAAGATGGAAAGATTAAGGACCTTAAATGTCAGTATGGGTTTAATGAATAATAGTTACTTTCTATGGAATTTACTTTTACTACAAAACATCTAAAAACACCTAGTACAAATAGTTTTTTTTGCATGGAAGGACACAAATATCATACTCCAAGAAACAGCTCAGCAAGGAACTGTATTTTGTAATTAGGAAATCAGCTGTTTTATTATTGAAATATGATGGAAATTATGAACACCTAGAGCCATGTGAGTGAAAGTGGACTGGCCAAAATACATTAAAAAGTAATACCATTTAAAATACTTCAATACCAACTATAACAATAGAATAATAATGTTATAAAATGAGGACAACCTTATGCCCCAGACAATTAGTACATTTTCATGATTTTAAGAAAAGTTCTTCCCCATTTTGGTCTGTATATGGTATATACAAAACCAAACCTAATATTGCTGAAATTGAAAACAAAGCAGGTAACATGTAATAAATTACTTACACAATTTAACTGGAACCAACAGAACAGATATGCAGAACTCACACAGGGCTGAAAGTAGTTTTGACCCTGAAAGCCACAGACCTTAAAATTTAACTAATTTGACCACACATAGGACAAGTACCTTTCTACAGAACACGCTCATACAAATGAAAGCAAATCCCAGTAACACAGCCATTCCAAAATTACATATTTACATACATTACAATACAATATATGACTGAATAAATAATTCACAACAGATACATAATTCAAGGAGTTCAAAATCCAGAAGAAAACAACATCTGATGACAAAACACCCAGCTCTACTGAAGTTTAATATATCAAAAAATACCTTCATTTCACAAACAGTATTATAGTAAAATAACACATCATTTTAGCTAAACTATTAAAAGATTTAGATGCAAAATATAAAAAAAAATTAATGCATTACTTTTACAGTTTTGCAATCCCTAATAATTTTATAACATAGACAAAATGAAATTATCTTATTAGGAGATACAATTGGCCTTATTTTGCTGGTTTTAGTTATCTCCACTGTAGATTTTAAAAACAAACCTTGAAATGAATATGACCAACAAATAAATAAAATGTGTCTACTAATATTGGCTCCCAGTTAACAGGCCAATGCCCAATGCAGACATATATGCAATTTCAGGTTTGGTTTTCCACTCATTTTAGTTATTTTAATGAAGTTCCTAAAAGAGGTTAATTTGACCAGGTAATCAGGTTTTGCCACATTATTACATAAAGTCTGGAATTTGAAGCCTGCTTTAAAGAATACCCTCACAGAAGTAAAAATTCCATTTTCAAGGTTATGATGCATTGTAGTCTTTTTGGTGGTTACCACTATACCAAAGGACATATCCATCTTTACCCTGGTAACCACTAATACCGGCTCCAACATTATATTCATTATCATGAATCATGTTAAAGTACTTTGTTACCTTTAAGTCTTAAAAAAATAAAGTTAATTTCAGTAATTCAAAACTTTCTTCTATAAATCTTTAACGAAATATCTGATAATTATGAGTAAATTTGTCTTCTATTATGAGTCATGACCACTAGCAGAATTTTGTAATGTCTTCCACATCTGTGAGAATACTAATACAAATTTCATGGCAGTGGAGAATGTGGTTGAGATACAAGTATATTTCAGAAGATAAGCAAATTAAATGTTGATTAAAGAGTTGGCAGTAAATAATATAGTTCAGCATTAAGTAACACACTTCATTAAAATTGAATATGAGATTAAAATATCACATTTTTCCTGTAACAACAATTAAAACTACACGTGGCAAAACTATCACAAAACTGCAACTCTGAAACTCAAAATTAATTTTAAAAGCAGGTGATAAAAACAAGTTATGCTCATTTTTCTGATATAATAGGCAAAGGAAAAAGAGGAAATTTTTAATCATGGATTAGTTCCTTGAATATAATTTCCTTTATATAATACTTTCACTTTAAATATTACACACATTAATTTACATTATTTTCACTTGTTTCTATGACCTTAATCTAAAACTGTGTGTATATTACAGACAATTTAACACTAAGAGGTGTCTAAAATTGAATAATATTTTCCAGTTGCTTGCTTTTTAGAATACAGTTTTGCTCCACATGAGTTTGTATTCATAATAAAATCATAAATTATGCATACTCATATGAAGTTTTATTCTGTACATCCTACATACCATGTCTCCTGTAAGATGTAGGCACAATGATGAATGTTAAGATGATGACTAATAATGATGTGGAGGATATGAAAATACAGCCGCTGTCCGAGAAATAACTTGTGTTACACAGTCTTACTATGACTAATCCACAGATGTTTCTTGAAAACTTGAGAGTTAATCAGCTGGTTAAGAGAGTGTGCTTTTATGAAACCTGCAGGTTCATCACCATGTTCAAAAATATTTATTTTAGCTTCACATCAATCCCAAGGTATTCCAAGTGCCCCCCCCCCCAAGTTTTCCAAACAAATTCCTCTACACATTTATATGTTTCACTGCCGCAAACATAAGAAATTACTGTTTTTAAGTTATAACTCGCTTCCCATACATGTCATAACCAGAAACATAACTCTTAATCTTAGTCTTTCACAGTCAGTGTGAAGGTAGTTAGTTGCTTTTGGGCTTATACTGTGCCCTTTCAGACACTGATACAGTACATGCCCATCCAGAGGCTAATCCTGAAGATGACATCCATAATATCCACCAAGACATCAGATGCAATAATATTAGTCAGGCAATTATAAAAACCTAAAAACCAATATGTATTAAATACCAACTGTGAAAGTGTAACTAATTAAATGATGCACAGATGTCCTTAAGAAACTAACAGTTGCCCAGCTAGTCAAGAAATTACCCAAAGATCTGTTATTTTTGTGAAAACCTAAGATTTACAATTACGTAAATCTATGATGGAAGGAGATCCATAGACTTACCAGGAAACTTGACTAATAACAACAGAAGTAGATCTGCCTTCTTAGCTCACCGGCTTGCACAGACAGTAACATCTTGCCCACTTTCACCAAGATCACTCACCACATCAAGAGGCAAACTGCAGGAAACACAAGTATCATGAAAACCACTAGGACCTTGATCACACATCAGAGCTTCAGTTACAGCAGATGACTCATATGAACTGAACAAAATCATGGTCAAACAAGTCATCAATGCCTTAATCAAACCAAGAAATTCTATGACCAATGCAGAAAGACACACACATTGCCAGTGCACTAAAGAATCCACTTTTTGCCTGACCAGCAGAACCAAAAATCAGCAAAAAAAATAAAGTTCTTGATTAAGAGGTCGTGACACCACTTGGTCTTGCGGATGGTTACTAATGTTTCAGAAGGAATGTAACGCCTCCATCTTCAGGGTCCTGAAATGTTGGTAACCACCTAGAAGACCACATGGTGTCACAAACTATAAGACAAAATAAACATTGTTAACACAGTGAGAATCTCAATATAATAATTAAGCAGCTTCAACAGAATTTAATATCTTAGAGAAATAAAATGCTGGCTGACAAGAGAGAAACCATCATTATCCTTGATGAAGACAGCATTCTGCCAAAGTTAACACTGTTTTAGAAAATTCTACATTGCACAAATTGGCCAAGACAAGAATAAAAGAGATTCAAAACATGTGATGGGCAACACACAGGCAAACAAATGGTGTGCTATTTCTCAACATTCCACACAGAACAAAATACTGACTTTTGGGAAATAGGACCTACGATCAACATTCACTATTAGAATCCTCATAGCAACCAGAAAGTCAGCAAAATAATAAAACAATCCATGGAACATCATTAAAGAGATGGTTGCAGACATGGCAATACATGAGAATTATTAACTAGCATCTGGGTCAGGACACTAAGCAATAACAGACTATACTACCTCCCCCCATTTCCAAACTGATATATAGACAATTCTCAATACTAATTCTGAAAATGACTACTGTAATGTCTGCTGACATGTGGGATACAATTCAACAAGCACTGCAGTTAAAATATAAATGTTAATCATCACAGAATACAAATTTTAGTCACCTAACATCTTCACAGTGTGGTTCTTTGTGACAAGGAAAGCAGAGAAACAAATAAAGTTAAAGTCACATATTCAGGTACGTACCAGACGACTCACTTGGCACAGGCACAAAGTAACAAAAACAGAAGCCAAATTAGAGAAATAAATTACAAGACATCAGTAAAAACAATATGCACACAACTAATTAAAATTAAACTGTTTTCAGAACATCACATTACAAAAGTCTCAAATGTTAATTCTGTTCTGCAATAAAAGGTATACTTCTATAAAAAAAACTGATGCCCCAATATAATGTGATCTGCAAACACAGAATTTAGTATATTACAAACCTGCATTGGTTCCCAAAACTTGGGTATTTGTCTAGCAATTTAGAAAGATCTGTGATAAAGTGGTTTCATCTATAATACAGACCGCATAAATCATGTAATACTAGAACTCTGGATATAAAGTACATATTTTTCCAGATTTTAGTCTCAAATGTTCATTTTGTCAGTCCTATTAAAACTCATATACTGAAGCGTTTACCCAATTTGATGTATAAATTACTCTTTTCAAACTGTTATTATCAGAAATGAGAATGATGCATCAAACAAAATCACGTAACTACAGGATAATAAGCACTGGGCTCTAACCTATACATCTCATGATTATACATCATCATTTTACATTATAATTGCCTGTAGAGAGGACAAAATGCAAATGACTCCTGGATGGCATGGACATTATAAAAAACTTGCAAACATGCTGCACATAAGTACTGCTTCTTTCGGTTATATTCAATACTTATAATATTTATAACAATACTTTCAGCCATAAAATGTTCATGAACACAGAAACTGGAGGAAAAGCAGGGAGGGAGAAAAACTTTCAATTAATTTATGTAATGTTGTTGGTGATTTGACCATCTCTCTGTATAAATAGTATAAGGACAATTCTTTGCATCTCCATTTTACCTTACATCTTCACTGCAACTTGACTGTCATACAGTCACCTGAACATTCTGTACCATGTTACTCCATTCAACCTTTGATGGTACCATGTAAAATGCAGGTGAAATTTTTGAACCACAAGGACACTGACAACCTGAAAAATAAATTTTATTGTAATTTATGTCAGAAGGCAAGAAACATACATCTAAAAAAATAAAAAACAGTGAATCTGTGGCTATATAAAATTAAATGTGGCATTAAATAAAGTATGTTATCAGATTTATTACTTTACATTTGAATGTAAGAAATCCATATTATAAGTAATTTAATGTGAATTTAAAGTAAAAAAAGTAAATTTAATACTGTATTTCTGAGATAAGGCAATTTTTTCCTTCCAAATTTTAAAATTTCTGAAATCAGGATGTCTTATATTTGATGGCATCTAAGAATTGGTGTCAAAAAATTATACTGATGACTAAAGCACAAATAAAATCTTCATGTCCGTAACACTAGTCATGGGACAGTAAATACAAAGATAACAACAAAGAAGATTCCAAAATTATTAACACAAAGAAGTTTTGCATTTGAATCCTGATAATTTAAATTGTAATACAATTTTTTTACCTGAAAACCTATTACTAAATAAAGGATACATCTTACAATTATTGGTGTATTAAAATAAAGGAAATATGATAATAATTTGATAGACTTTACCGTCACTTGAACCATAAATGTTTTATGCTACCATGTTGCATTTATATATATATAATTAATATTTCTATTAAATTCATACCACTGTACTTATGTTCATATAAAACTATTGGGTTGATAAACGCTGTAAGTGCAGTGCACTGGATGGCTTAATTTATATCATATAATTTTAAGCTATTAAAACGTATGTCTTTCCACTGGGATATGAGAGGTCAAAAAGCAGTTTTCTAAAATTTGTAACTGTACAGATACCACATTACCCATAATCCAGCTGAAGGAACCCAACTTTGACTTGCATTTTGGGCAGTGGATTTTCCCTTGTAGTGATTGTGTAATGGACGGCATCCAAGCAAGAGGCTCCACAAAGTATGTTTCAGAACATAATGTCATTGTATCTTTGCCTTGAGTTGACCACTTTTTATCTGTCCATACAGGCTTTTCTTTTGGTATGTGAGGTAACAAATTTGATGCAGATGCCACAATGCGCCTGAAAGCACACTTCAGTTTGTACAGAAATTCTTAACACTAGTCTAATGCAATGAACTCTGACACAGTACAAGTAATACTCTTCTCTCTGTGCCTTCAAGAAAAAGAATTCAGTATGAAGATGTAAAAGATTATAAATTTTGATTTGAATCACCACTGAATGGCACCGTATCTGTCAAAAATTCAATATGACCATAAAACACAATTTGAAGTATGTGATAAAAAGTGAAATATACACTTCTGTTCTGCAATATAAAAAAAGGTCATTACAAATAACAGAACACTTTCATAAGAAATGTTCAAAAAATGCTACACTGAAACTATCAAGTTATCATACTGATGACAAATAAATTCATACATATTAATGGTCCACTTCATGACGCACATAAAACACGGAAATATTACCTGCATTTCCGACAGCGATATACAAGAGGGTCTGGTTTTACTGTGATTAGTGATGGATCAGACTTCACTACATCCATACAACTTTGCGGTAGGATTCTAGCTAAAAATGAAAAACAAAGTGTCTCCTGATAATGCTAAAACACGGAATGTTATTTAAAACAAACGTATTAAACTGAGTCTTACAGAAATACCTTGCTTTACTTGATCAGCTGCAATCTGCAACCTATACATTCGAAACTGAATATTGGTTTTATCCATCCGCCATTTCATTGTCTCATAGAGACATAACTGGGACACAAATCCTGGGTTTGGGCCAACATACCTACGTTTAGATTTCACACTGGAACAGAATGAAGCACATAATAATCACTTTATAATATGGAGAATACAACATTAACCAGAATAAAACCAAAGACACTCACTGAAGTGGGAATAAGAACATGAAGGTGTACTACAATTTGGAAAACACATATTTTGCAAAGGCAAACTTTGTGATTGTTAACACCTCAATGTTCACTTACTGATATAAATTTAAACTGCAATATAGAGAACCACTTCAGTAAGAAATCTGTCATTATGATGCCCTTTACATCTCAGAAAACAGTGAACACGGCTTCCACTTCATGGTTCTACTTGAAATATTTTGAAATTTGGTGATGAGGATTTTGTGACTTATTGGGATTTATTTTCAGACTGAAAATGGTGCACCAATCACTTGACAGACACACAACACAATTTTTCCAAGAGAACTGTCACTCTCAGCTTCACAGTAAATCTTATTTGTATTCAGACGTACTTGCTTAATGCTGTCAATTCATGTAAGCCCATACAGCACACACTTCATTCAGTCCCAACTCCTTACAGAGCACATTACGTACTGAATCATTCATTTGCAATGCCACAGCAAGGTTATCAACAGATATTTGGTAATTTTCCCAAACTAAACATTCTGCTTCCACAGTACTGGCACTTGGTACATTTAGCCTGGCTGCAGGGCATCATTCAACTCCTGTACACCATATACCGTGTGTTTATTGACATAGTCACAGGCAACTGTCACTTGCTGGCTCCTGGCAGGAACTGCATTAGTCACCACCCGGCACTAACAGCAACTGCTGCTAAAATTATTCACAAAACAGTGCAGTTATGTCTAACAACATGTTACATACTAGTTATTGTTTTGTGTGTGTGGATATGGTTTAATATACTGTTGAACAGCATGATTTTTTAGAATCCTATGTGAAATGTGGTTCTGCTAGTAAGTATCACATAAAATTTCATCATACATTTCCTGGGATTACAGTTCCAAGCAAAATAGGCAACCATAAATTTATGAAGAAAGTCAGGTGTATTGGGTTACTTCTGGACATGCTGTATGCTTACCAAAGAAAAATGAGACAAAACAGTTGCTAGGCTAGAATACACATCACATAAATCTCTGAAATGCTTTCCAAAACAGACTGGCATCTCAAAATTGTCAACAGCCAAACTGACAAAGCAGTGGATTTCAACATTTTTAAGGTAAACAGAGTGTGTGCAAACACAGGAACATCATTCTCAGATAATTTACTTTATTGTCATTATCGTGCAATACTTGACTCACATTGGGAAAGTCTTATACCACTTGGTAGTGAGCTACAAAGTTCCAGCCACGAGCCAGCAAGTGACACCTGCGTGTAACTATGTTAGTAAACACAGTGTATATAGTGTCAATGTTAGCACAGCAACAAACAAACCAATCACCTGAATATGAAAGTACAGTCAACTCCCATTACATTCGGTACATTAAATAAATCTCAAATTGTAGACAATATATATAAAAATCATGTTGTAATGTTAATTTCAATTTGTACTCTCCTAAATCCTAACTGAAAGGACTTATAATGGTAAACAATATCTTGGAAGCAACAGAGTAACCTACCGTTCCACAGCATCCTCAAATGACAATTCATATTTCTTCATAATATATGCTATAATAACTGCTGCACTTCGAGACACACCATAGTAACTGAAATTAAAAGTGTTAGAAATGTTCTCAATAGTCATCTGTTCAGAAAAATGAAATCAACAACAAAAACTGCTAATTTTCTAATTAATCATTAATATATAACTACACTATGTCATCATGTATGTCTGTTGGAGTTTGACATATTTGTACATCTGTGCTAAATGACAAGATGTTTATGAGTTAATTTTTGTAACCAACATGTTTTCTTAAATTAAGAATACTAAACAAACTAAACAACTAGATATGTGTGTCTACAGTAAAACAGGGAAATTACAGTAACATTGTATCTGTTAACTTTTTATAACATAATATGATTGGAACCACCAGAATATTTAACATAATCAATATATTTTAATCAATTCAATTACTTTATGTGCTTGGCAACAGCTAAAAAACCAATTATAGGCAAGTACCAGAATGAAAAACACAGAAAAATACAATTAAAACATAAAGGAGTTATAAAGGAGAAGAATTATTTGATTTAAAATTGTGAATAAAACCAGCAAACAAAATACAATATTTGTTAATGATGTCAACACTCCTATGGACTGCACTGGCAGCAGAAACACATCTGGCTGAGGGACTGGCCTTGAATTATGATACACAGTAAAAATATAGTAGTCTCTGATAGATATAGCGGGTATGTACACACTAAGAGTATCAAAATAGATGAATATTTGTCTTTAAAAACATTTATAAGAAAAAGGGCATCAAGAAATTTAACCAAACTAAAACATCTTCATATTTAGAGTCACATATGCCATTAAAAAATCTTGTGTAACATAAAACTGCATGATACCTTAACAGAAACACAAAATGTGGAATCCATAATTAGAAACCACTGACACACATAGTACATTCTACTGCGCACAAAAATAAGACCCACTACTCACTCCCCTTTAAAGAAATATTTCATGTTATTACATACACCAAGATTTTAAGAATAAATAATTTTTAAATAAACTGTGTGTGATATACAAGTAACAGTTACAGACTGACTAAGGTTGGGATAAGTGCTGCTTTCAATTCAAAATGACTAAGTTTTGTGCCATTTTCAGTCTGTACAATTAGAAGCTGTAGTGCAAAACAATGTTGGCTACCATTTGCAAATGAAAGATAAGTGAGATGAGGCTTACCAATGTACTAAAACTACTCCTTGCTCCTGTCCTGCCTTAATAAACTCATAAGTGTCTTCAAAATGTGTAAGCAGGTCTTCTCTTGGAGAATCAGTTACTGTAAACAATTGACACTAGTTTACTTCATTTGTTTCTTCAAAACATACATGACTGAAGCCAAATAAAGCTAAAATCCAGCACTATCAAGGTATACAATGATAGAACACTAACATAATCCAAGATCTACAATAATTAGAAAGATAAAAAGAAAAACAGAATCTAGGTACAGTATAATAATACAGTATGTGCCAACATGTAAAGTTCACAGTTCACAGCAGAACAATACAACAAATTACAACAAAAAATAATATTAAATATATTGCTCTAAAGAAACAAGAACCATTCAAAGTTGTGAACCAATTTATGAAGAAAGAGGAAGAATATGGTTAAGTTTCTTGTTCAAGGCATCATCATAAAAATATTAAAATTAGCAACACATCTGCTTGAAAACACAGCCTTCACTTCAGAGATTATAAGTCAAATCTAGGGGGTTTCAAGTGTGTAATGATTCATTAGAAAGAATGTACAATTAGGAAGACAGACATGTCAGCTCCAAACACAGGATAGGAAATTGGCAGTAATATACCTATAGAAAACAAAAACTGGTTGCAAGCTTTCCTACAATTACATTACTGCAACGTATTCTACACATGGATGGGAAAGTAAAACACGTATACTCTGTGCAACAAGGGGCCTGGAGGATTCGTTACAATCATGAATTATACCAACTTTATAAAGAACCCAGGCTATTTGTACACATTAAGCTGAGGCTCTGATGGGCAGGTCACGTCCAAAGAATACTGGAGGCCCGGATATTGAAGAGGGCCCTTATTAGACAACCACGCAGTAAAACACCTGTGGGGAAGCCAAGGGTGCGATGGGAGGCATCAGGGAACAGGGTTATGGCTCATATCAAGTCCAGCAACAGATGCTGTGTTAGTAGCTGAAGCTCAAAAAAATTCCTTTGCCAGATTTAGGGAGCTTAAGGCTGCTACAAACTTTCCTGGACAGAAATGTATGATTATTCTGAGAATAAAAGAAGTCTGTCTCAAAGAACAACAAGCTACAGTGAAGGATATGCTTAATGAATATACTGCCTAGCATTTCCTGAGAGCAGTGCGGATTGCCAGTGGGACAGAGTAATTTCCTCTGATAAATCTACATTTGGCTCAGCAAATGATGGGCCAGTTATAGTTTACAGAGCATGAAGTAAATGTTATGACTCTCAATGTGTGTTGACCTCAATAACCAGTGGTTGTGAGTCTGTTCATTTAGACTATGCAGTGGCACCACCCATTCTGCTTTAAAAATTCATAAAACAAAAACTAGAAAACATCCTTTTAATGAACTGGTAAAACAATGTGACAAAAACAGAAGTTTTGGTATGTTTAATATGAAACAGAATACAGGTGCACAATGCTACAAACAATATTTAAATATGTATGCTACAAAACAATTAAATATGTCATTAGAATACAGGTGCACAATGCTACAGACAATATTTAAATATTTATGCTACAAAACAATTAAATATGTCATTTTTAATTTCCAGTATCACACACTACGTCCTACCTTGTAAAAACTTTACTTTCACCCCTGGCAGCATTGTTATCTTCCTTGGCAAAGGACAGGAATCTACTGTAAGAATATGGTTTATATGATGCAGCTGCAGTTCTTCAACATTTGTTGCTGCGGTTAAGTTGCCTGTGATAGAAAAACACAACAAATCTAGATGCAGGTGTGCCTTCTCAGGGGCAGGGGATTTTTCTTCTAGCCTCTGATATTTGCAGCAGGTCTCCAAGGTGAGAAATCTCTAGTCAACAGATGATACTTATACCACATCACTAATTATATGCATCCTTTGTTTATAATGAGTGAAATTTTATAATAGTATGAATTGTACTTGTATGTATTACTATGTATTACTAGATGTAACATATTGTAAAATAACTGAACAAACCTTGTCAGAGTTCAAATCTGTTGGGAATACAGTACATTTCAATACAATTAAAATATGTTTTAACTTTAGTTAATAATACAACACTTTTTTTGGTAATGCTAACTATGCCAAAACATTGTGTAAAAGAAAAGTATTTTAAAACTGCTTTTATGGTTGATATCACTGTATCAAATATGCTCAGCCACCAGAAACAATTTTAAAAAAGTTCTAATCTATTGTTCAGTAGAAATCTGAAATATAAGCAACTGTTTACCACATTATAAAGATATATTAACCTTTCTCACAAAGACTTTCTGGGTTATACTTTCAAAGGCACATCCCATCTTCTGTATTCAAAACTGGGACATTTATGCTAGGGCTGACCCAATTTGTTTTACGTTACAACTATATTTAAGAAAATACAAGTTCTAATAAGACTTATTTGTAAATGTTTCGCTGGCCAACTGATATTCTGCTGAATGGTGTTTGAGGATCACATATTTCTAGAGCATTTGAATATCAATATACATACCAAGCCACACACCGGGCTCTATGCAGTCTAGATTTGTTGGTCCAGCATCAAAATCTTCGCGTTCAAGAACTTCAGACTCTTTCTGCCTGGAGTTTATTTTCTTCGAAGCACCCCTCGAACTCATCTATCAGGACTACCTTGAACGTTCTACACGTCAAAGACAAGTCGTGTCACGATAAATTCACGTATACCCTGTTTGAAAAAAGAACACTGCATTCACATTAAAATCTTTTAATATGAGTATTAATTTAATCGGCTGTTGAAATGATCTGTCTATAATTATGTTTTGTTTAAATCTGAGCCGATCGATTCCATGTCAAAATTTCGCACGTGAAATCACGTTCCACATTTGATGTGTACAATATTGGTAGTACTGTCGTCGTAAGTAACGTGTTGCCAAACGGAGAACGAAAAATTGAACTGTGTTCTGCGACTGACGTTATGTTTGATCTTTTCCTCAATTTTAATTCATCATTACTGTAGTGAATGTTTATCGAAGTAAGATAAAATCAATTATGAAACTTATTTTTAGTGTTAAGACAAGAAAAAGTAACAATCAGTTTTTCAACCCTTTCCCTGAAGTTTGTGGCAGAAGCTCAAGTATTAAGGTTCTTATGTACAGTGGTCGTTAAATTTCCGGTTTAAATGCAAACTGAAACGTTTCGACAATTATTCGTAGAAGTTTCTAACATGATATTTTATAATAATAGATTTTACTGTTTTCAAATTGTTTCACTCGTAAGTTTGAAGATGATCATGAATACATCACATCAACGACGAACGAACACACCTTGTGTATATCACCGTGGCACTGATATCCTCTCGAATTTCGTAAATTATCCCTTTTTTAGTAGACATTTCAGTGGTACAGTCAAATCCCGTAATATCGCCCTCAAAATTCCGCCGTAACGAAATCCCAAAAATTTAAAAAAATATCTCTGGCATCACGATCAGGCCTACCTGACCAACACAATGAACCAGTGGTTGCGCATGCAGCTTGTTGGCAGTATACTGGACGCAGAATATCTCCGAACCTGAGCTGGAAGGGGCACAAAGGGAGTAAAACGACAAGTACGCGATAGCTTGGCTGGCTTGCAACCAACGTGTGTATTTGTAATGGTCAACGCAGCTTGGAGATGCCTTGCTACATCATCACAGTCACTTCATCACCCTATGTATTTCTTTGTTTTTGAATGCCAACCCCCAACAAAATCTAAAGCATTAACCTAACATAATGAAAAGTAAAAGTACAAAATGGTTCTTAATTTTCCTTAATATTGTGTCCTTTTGTTTTATGTAGGGCAAAACCAAATATTTTCACGTTATCCATATGCTCATATCAGGCACAACAAAAACAGATTTAACAGACTGAAGTAACAGCCTGAGAAAAAAATAATGAGGAGTGTCCTAATTTGTACCCTTCACCATATACAGTGTGCTCACTGATAAAGTTGAATGTAGCTGTCACTTTTTTGGCTTCTGGCAGAAACTGCTATGAGAAAGGTAAGTTGATTTTAGTGTTTTCATGTAGCGGTACTTGACATGTATTGAGAAGACCTTGTAGTGCTTGGTGGTAAATAATGCAGTTCCAGCCAGGAGGTGACAGTTGCATTCAACATTGATGGTAATGATCCTATGGCTTCAATGAAAGGCAGGGAATTTCATGACCAGATGAGTGATTGTCAACTTCTCAAGAAGCATTTATTTCAGAGTAATGGTCTTTTGTTTTAAGTGCACAGTTTGTGCATCAGATATTATAACATTATGAAGAAGAAAATTATGGTAGCCCTGTTCTTGAGTTATAACTAAATTTTGTTGTTAACCTTTAAAGCTAGGTTCTGTAACACAAGTAGATGTGTTCTGACAAACAATATTAAGAGTCAGTATGCACATTCAAGAATAGTATGTTCCAGAGGAAGATAGGCCTATTAAAAGAGACAATGTTAATGTAAATGCTGAAAAGATAATTTTGAAGCCATTAAAGTGCTTTAACCATAAAAGAAAGTTACAAATGCCAGTAGAGGCCTGTACATTAATCATAACTGTAAGAAGAGCCTTGTAAATGGCTGGGTTCTCAAGCTGTGGATAAATTAACAATATGCTCTTACATTGAAGGACTTTGGTTTGAGTAGATAAGTTGTTTAACTAGTGTCATATTGACAGGTTTTGAGGTGGTAATGAAAATTAATTCTCACAAGTAGGAATCTGCATACTTTATAGTTATTTTTACATAGTATGTAGACCTACATCACTGAAAAGGTAAGGAGTAAAAGTCTTACATGATTGATGTTTACCTGTATAAAAACTTTTCCAAACATTTTATAAATATTGTGTGTAACGCAGACTACGGAATGAAGAAATAGCTTATAAGTAGTATTCCACTAAAAAATTATTTTTCCTGTATCAAATGATTAATGTAACATGACTGAAAATGTGCAGTCCATACCAAAATACACCGAGTTTCAACATGCATTCTTTTCACCTTGATATTCTGAATGCTGTTAGCTCTTCCAAATAGATTTGATGAAAATATTAATGTCTCACTCACTTACAAAAAAAAAAAAAAAAGCACTTTTCTGCTCAATATACATAGTTCTCACTATCATTAAAACCAGTTTTGTCTTTCTGCTGTACTGTTTAATTTGTTTGACATAAATAAATTTTTGGGAGCATAGCATATTTTCAAATAGTGGGCCATAGCACCCTGCCCCAGACACCCTCAATCTTTGTTCTTCCATTAGTATGAGAGGTTAAGTTTACCCATACATTGATGCTATAAATAAATATTGTTTATTAATATCAGCACTGTAATTTACAATCACTTCACTTCATTCACATACTTCTTAACAACTGCTTTTCTTCCAGCGTACTTTTGAATTCGTATACATTTGGCACAAAGTGGTTTAACTTGTAACATCTCTGCAGCGCTGAATCACTTTATTTAGTCAATGTTTGCTCACTATATCTGTGATGGATGTAGACTATATTCGTGAGCTCTGAAGCGAAGATTGGCAATACTGGTGCTAACACTATAGCCCGTTCCCATCGTTGAGGACTGGTGTGACACAGCTAAAGATGAAGCATTATAGGGAGAGGATATACCTGGAAAGATGAAATTCAATATGAAATGGTATATTTTATTAGCACATTTCTCAAAGAATACAATACTGAAATTTAAAATTTGTAGTGATTATTTGGTTTGCATACAACAGCAGCTCATTTATCTGTTAACAGTGGTTAAAAGGCTTAAGCCTACTAATTAATAAAGTCATAGTATGTAACAAATGCACGAAAACTTTAAAATTTGAGAAGCTGACAGTGAAATGTGCTTTTAGACAATGGTTAAATAAATTCAAAAGAGAATACTAGTAAAAAAATTAATCTTATAAAATTTATAACTTCAAAAATCCACTAAATTAAACATTTTATTCTCTAATTCTTTTGTGACAGATTTCAGTGGATTCACACAAAATTCTGATGTTTCAAACGTCAGATACTGTGACTTTTCCTGTTGCTAAGATTTTACTGAAGAATCTAACCAATCCCAAGTTTTGTTCTTGTGTATGATTTTATAAAATGCTAATTTCTGTAATAAAATGTTATAGATCCTGGAACCAATCAGACTCATTTTATTGTTTGCTATTTGTGACTGCTATCCTGTGCATTTGGGGACAATTTCATAATCATGTTAAGGTGCATCACAATAGTGTCAGCCAATTTGTATTTAATGTTCACAATTTGGTATGGATCCACCTCTCTAATTTCTGATTCATTAAACAAGTGGGGGGGGGGGTAAGTATTCCTATATGATGGCAAATACATTACTTCTCAGGAACACATTCAAATGTAGTTACTCTTGTTCTCAATTAATTAAAAATTATATCTGAGCTCCTTATAAAGCTGTGTTTTGGGAGTAGCAGCAGATTTTTCTTGGGCATCTCCCTTTGTATTTTTATGAGATTTTATTAGCTGCTCAATATTCATAATGAGATGAAAACACGGTTATAGAATGTACTTCGTTGCTCCTTTAATGCTACAGATAGATTGAAAAGTATGGTACTTAATTTATTGTGCATTTTAGTCCTTTCAGTTCCAGTAATTGTTAAGAAATTGTCACAGATATACAGTTAATGTTTAATTAATTTGAATTTCTTTAGTTTGGTGTAGTTTTTATCATTAACACCAGAGGATACTTCTGTGTAACAGTGTTGTATTCAGGGGATTGGCATACCTGATACTTGCACGTCATGGAATTTTTTTGTAGTTTATTTAATCTCCATTTTTGTTTTAAGGTTAAAATGGTTTGTAAAACGTTTATTACCTGCAGAAGACATAAATGCACAGGATGGTGTTGCTACAGGCAGACTGCTGAGTGCAGGTGTACCAGAAAGCATTGCGTACTGCTGGCAACCAGGAGCAGCTGCCTTCCATGATGGGTCATAATTTAGGTAGTCAGGCTGAGAAGTTCCTGCAAAAGTTATACACTTCAGAATAGTGCTTGTGGTCTTATGGATTGTAACGCCCTGAAAACTTGTAGGTAGATACTGACGTTTCGGTGTAATATACTACAACCTACAGTCTTTACGGCGTTACAGCACAGACAACCAACGCTGAAAACAAAATTTACATTTATTCCTCAAGTTAAGACAACTGAAAAAAAAAGTTTATATATTCTGATATTTAGAGCTTCGGAAGGGAGACGACATTATAAAAGTTCTCGAACTCAGCAACAAGAAACTTTTCCAAGACGTATACTTTACCTAATTATTTCTTACGATCCTAATTTTTATTTGTTTGCATACAGCGTCGCTAAATAACCTATGATCTCTGAAACCCATCTGGCTTGGTTGAGGTGTTGGATCGTACCTGGAGGCAGTACCGCAGTTGGTCTGGGTGCCAGGGGCTGTTCCACTGCCGCGGTTCCACCGCCCTGTTGAAGCGGTGCCTCCCGGCCATACAGCCCACTCCTCTGCGCCAAGACACTTCGCTCGTTGCGGCGAAATTTAGCTCTTCGGTTCTGGAACCAGACCTACGACAGATCCCCGTGTTAACAATGCGGTCATATTAAATCTCTTCCAAAATTGTAGCAATCTTTATAACTTCCTGGAGCACATTTCCCTTGAGAAGTTAATAATGTCTCGACTGGTCAAGAATTGTTCCCTCATTACGGAAGTCATATTAAATAAGTCAGCAATGGTTTTCTTCAAAGGACCAAAGAATTTGACGTACAATGGCTGTAGCTTGTGGGAAGTGTTTGGACGTATATATGACAAAACAATGCCATATTCTTTGAAAAAACTCCAGTGCCTCCAGAATAGTATGGCTAAAGCAACTAGTCACCGTTATGAGTGTTGACTTGCGTGCACAATGTAATTTATTTATAAACCCAACCGATAGGTTATAGTCCGCATTTGTAAGACGTGAATTTGTAAATTTTAACCCTTTGAGTGCAAGCTGGTCCGTCGGCCGAAGCAGTAGTTGGTAAGCCACACAATAGGCCGGTCCGCTAAATCTGTTGTTTTAATTACACACAAGGCTCCCAGATGGCAAAACAAGTCTGCATCAGATAGTTTATACTTTAGCTCATATTTTCCTCAACAGATCGCTCCTGTAGGCTAACAAAAAATATTTTATTGGAACAAATGAAATTCGTTGAGCTAACAGGTGAAACTCGTGGCGTGCTAACAATTATTGCTTGTTGTTTTCGCTGTATTATTTGCTAAAATAAGTGTTTAGCCTTGTAATTGTGTTTTTAGTTGAAGTTTATGTAGTGCTTATGATATTTTTTCGTTATTTTCTTTAGTTTATTGCATATAGATTTAGTTTCTTTTTTAAATTTCTCACTTCGGCAATTACTTGTCCAAGTTCAAGAATGGATGCCGCCGATATTTTGGATTATTTAGATACTGTAGATAGTGATAGTGACATTATTCCGGAAAGTGAGTTTGATTGTACTGAAAGTGATTATGACAGTGCTCCAGAAACAACAGGCCCAACTGCTGACAATGTCCGAGATTGAAGGTACGTGTGCATTGGCTTACAAAAAGTGTTGTATTTCAGGACCAGATAGCAGTACAGACACCAAACGCATATCAAATTATGAAGAAATAAATGTTCTTTCTTGCAGGATAAATGATGAAGAAGGAAAACAAAACACAATTTATGATTTTACCTCCTGAAAATTACATTTTTAATAATATTTTTCAGTATTTCAAAAATTTTTGTAGGTTAAGTATAACATCAGAATTTACGCGATATTTTTCTAATCTACAGTATTTAGTGTATGAGTGTGATATTTTTCATGTGTATGTGTGTAAAATTCTTCTTTGGTGAATTTTTACATTTTAAATTGTAAATACGTGAAAACTGGCCTGGGTGTTTAGAACAGAACAGTGCAAATAGGCTTTGGAACTAAGAGGGTTAATGGAGTATGTAAACATATTTTTACGCGCTATCAAGAGTGTAGAATCGTTTAATAAAATAATGAAATTGTAGACTCTTTAAACAACTTTTTTATGACCACAAATGACGAAATGAGTTGTCTTTGGGCCAGTTTATTCGATTTTCAGCTTTGAGTTAAAGAAAAAATGTGTAGAAACAGTGCGTGATGGTACAGAATGGTATCTGTGTGGCACTGGCATCGATAAAGCCGCAACCTATAACAGCTGCCATATAAGTATTACTTTAACCCTCTTAGTGCCAATTCATTACGGGAAACTATTCTCTAAAATTTCGAAGATAGTGTAGAAACGCAGACAAACATTAACCTCGTCTATCGATTGAGCACTTATGGGAAAAGTGAAATGAAATAATCTTATGCCCTTGTTTCTTGCAACGGCAGCCCTGACTACATTACGTCAGCTTGTCATTGCTACTGCCTTAACAGACAAAGTTATGTGATAATTTCCGTCATATATCGACATTTTTCATAAATGAAGTGACTGTTTGTATCAAGGTCAATACTTAATCCATGAGACGAGGCCTTCCTGAGAAGCTTAGTCACTCAACCACTCAATAAATTCCCAACATGTTATGGAACCTGAAAGTCCAAACTTGTTCACAAGAGCTCGCCACCGGTCCTTGTCCAGATGAACCCAGTGCATATCACCCTATTCTGTTCCTCTAAGATCTATTTTAACATTATCCTCCTACATAAGTTTACGCCTTCTTAGTGATCTCTTTCCTCCTGGTTTGCCTATCAATGCATTCCTTTTTCTCTCACATGCGAGCTACAAGCCTTACCTATCTCATTCTCTTTGACTTGATCAGTGTAATTATATTTTGTATACGTTTTTTAGACATCAGACGAAAAGACAAAAGGTTCTGAGCTGAATGATCAAGAACTACCCGAATTTAATCTGTTTATAATTTCCTCGTGAACTAAACTTTGATTTCCCAGATATCTGAACTTTGCCAGATTCTCAAAGTATCCGTTAGTTATCTTTTGTTATGATTATGCCCTGCATTCTGATGACGAGACATCTGCATGTTCAGAAACTGGTCACTTCGTCGTTAAATAGCATTTTTCAGAAAATATCGATTATACTTACAAACAGATGGGCTTGTCACTAACATACTAATACCGTTGCGTATAACGGAGTGATCTCTGTTTACGTGAAGGGTGGAGCTGTTTTAAAGCGTAACTTACATGAGCCCGCCTCCATATCGCCATCAAATGTAGCGTCTCTCATTAGCCGCCTCGACTTTACACTTCTCTCTGCTCTGTGCAGTATCCATACAAGAATTAGGGTCTATTTATATAGGAACGTAAAGATCACGACACGAGCCCTTGCCGATTTTTCAGAAAATATTATTCAACGTTTTTCAATGGAACTGTTTAGGAAAAATATCGTTGGAGACGTAAGTTGGGCGAGACTCGTTCGTGGAACGGACGAGCTCGGAGTCAATATAAACAGTTCCATTGGAAAACGTTGAATAATATTTTCTGAAAAATCGGCAAGGGCTCGAGTCGTGCTCGTGTCGTTATCTTTACGTTCCTATATAAATAGACCCTTATACGGCGGTAGCCAACTTAGGTAACAAGAAAGTTAATGGAATTTTGATAAAGAAGCTGTAAATAACTTACATTTAATTATGACTAGACTGTGTATAAATTTTAATACAATAAATAAATAAAATTGTCCAACTAATGTGTAGAAATATCAAATCTAAAAGTACGTGACGATGGTGAGTTATTTGAATAAAAATCTCTTTGGATACTTTTATTCTGATATGTAGAAAATGTCACAGAAAATTCGAGTTTTCGTGAGGTTTGTTAAAATAGAAGCTTTCCGTGTAATATTTACATTGATGACGTAATTCTAATGGATATTTTCCCAGGCGTTATAAAATATAACTTACAACTAAATTAAACTGTGAGAATTTGTGAACACTTGCGAAGTCTTTGATGTGACATTGGCGAGATGGAATTAAGACTCGATGTAAGAAGTAGCAGGTGATATGATCGTCAGAAATGTACGACAGAACAACTGTTGCTTCTAGAAGCGAAGTAAGCAGATATCCTAGAATCCAACAAGGAAAAGCAGCCAGAACATTAATCAAGATTGACGTTTCAGTCATTGAAACACGCAACTTCAGTGAAAAACATTTCTGGGACAAGAGATGCTTCAGATACAAGATCTAATGAATTATGCTTCAGAGACGAGATGACTGGATCGTGTATAATGAGAAACGGCTGGCAGGACCTGTCGCTTGAAACCCGAGCGTCAGAATTAACACGGAGCACATGCGTAAAGATCCGGAGACCTTGATTATTGCCTCCAATTCTTGGTATTTAAGTCCGCCCTGTTTCCTTTCGGGCGTGTTCTAAGACCAGACTCGAGCAGTGTTGTGGATGAACCGGTCGTAAACATCATGGCCGATTTTTCTGCGTCATACAGAGCCACGTAATTAAATGCACATACGGTGGTCTAGCGGTTAGAACGCTGGCCTTGTAATCCTGGGGTCTCGGGTTCGATTCCCGGCGGTGCCCGAATTTATAACTTGTGTTGGGGAAGGCCCGTGGTCTAGGCAACACGGAGTTTTCCTCCGGGGGCTTCCCCGGTTTCTCCGTGGCATCCCAACAATTACTCCATTCACACACAGAAGAAGGCAATGGCAAACCACTTCTGGATCATCTGCCAAGAACGTATATGAACAGGTCCCAGTCCGAGAGAAGGATGGAAGGATCCTGTTCATATGGACCTGTCGTCAGACAGAACACTAAATAAATATAAAAAAATATGATACTTCACTCCCTATTTAATTAGCATAGAATATGTCGACGTTGGTCTTCTGTATTGTAACGCCGTATGGACGTGTAGTCAAATATCGACGTTTCTAAGGAACGTACGGCCTCCGTATTCAGGACTGAAGATGAAGGTAGCGTGTTCATCCGAAGCTTTTGTATCTATATGTAAGTTTACGTGGTGTCACTACCCAGAAAACCAACATCGACATCTTCACCTCCCTCCCTCCAGAACCACAGATCTCATGTTCTCTGAAATCTCTTAGAACATTTTACAGAACCGAGATTAGTCTCCAAACAGTGGGTGGTTCATTCGGCTTTTTCTGCATGTTTCTGTTTTAAATTTCTATGAGCTGAAGATTCTCGTTTATCCTAGTTTCTTCAAGTGCAGATTTGTTAAGGTGAGGAAGTCAGTCAAATTGCCTTTTGAGACAAATTTGTTCCTGTGTAATAAAATAATTCTTCCTAAGTGTCTAATCAAGATACGTTTTGGAACAGAGTATTTACGAAGCATTGCATTTAAACCAATGTCACTGTTTCAAACTGTTTCAAAGAACTCTCCATATCTTTGGAATTCCAATTTCTGTGTATCGCTTTATAATCGTAAAATACAAGTTGAAAATTTAATCATTAATAGACGCACGTGATAAGATTTTTATCTGTGAGTTTTTAACTGTTGTACAAAATTAGTGTCGTGTTGTATAAATACTGCACTAGAAACACCGACATTCGAATAACAGTAAGATATAATTGTACAATATTAGCAGTAACAGAATGCAAAGTTCCATCAATGTCCTCCCATTCAACGAGCTAGGTTGTGGTTCATCGATAGCATTTAAGTCATTTTTGTTGACGTCGAAGCTCTGAAGCTTAATTTCAACTAACAACAAAAAACACTGTTAAGGCTTTGACCGGGATGTTCTTTGGTTAAATCTTATGTGGTACCGCCTGATTCGACTTCTAATGGTTAAGTGAAGTGTTTTCTTCGCGGTACGGTCTGGATTCGTAAATATTATGAAGACGAGCTTCGACTTCAAAGGGTTAACCAGCTGATTTTCGTAATGGTGAGGTGTAGTGTTTTCTTCGCGGTACGGACTGAATTCATAAATAATATTCAGACGATCTTCGTCTTCAAAGGGTTAAATTACACAGTAGATAATACATTTTTACCTAGTACGTAACAAATAAAAGTTATTTACTTTTTTTGATAATAAATAAATGTAGAGAAATAAGCCAAAAATAAGAACAAGTGTATTGAAAACTTTCCTAGCCAAATTTCTCTTGAAACACGCACTGGTTCTTTATTTTTATTCAACATTTATTATGTTTTGGTTCCGTATGTCTGAATCCTAATAGGCAAGGATTTATGTGTAGTTTTGTATAATTTTTTCGTGATGTAAAATTTTATGGTATACCGAGATTTTGATAAATTAAGGTGTTGTGCAGGTTGAATAAAGCTACGGAACACTGCTAAATACTCTTTATCTTTAGATACAGAGATCTTTGTTAAATGAAATACAACTTAACAAATTTACGGAGTGATAGAACCTCTTGTACCATGGGTAACAAAGTCAGTACCTGCTTCCACCACAGCAGTGCCCCTCTTCCCAAATTAGAAACTTTGATTGGATTCTCTGTGATTGCTTACAGACGTCATTCATGATGAAGAGACTGAGGTTCGATCTGCAGAAGATTTTTAGTTTGTTATTCTTAAGAAACATAGGTTTACGTGTTTTCAGTACGAGTTCTATGTTAGTTTGCATTTATAATTTGGGTGTAACGTTTAACAATGCTTAGCTACAAAATTCTTTTATTTTTAAACAGTCACAACATCGAAAAGTGTTCTGATAAAAGTTCTGTATCATAACGGGATCTATGTTTCGTGTTATGATGGAAAAAAAAATACAAAAGTTTGTTTTGTCCTTTTGTAAATCAGGAGTTGTATTGAATCGTTTAGGATCAAAATCTAATTCACTCCATAGTCCGTAGTGTTGGTCCCTAAATATCAGGTTTCATCAAAATACTTTGTGTAGTTTATGGGTGCGAAACATGGTCTCTCACTCAGAGGGAGGAACACGGATTGCAGGTGTTTGAGAATCGGGTGTTGAGGAGGATATTTGGGCCTAAGAGGGAAGATGATGGGGCGTGGAGAAAACTGCACAATGAAGAGCTTAAAAATCTGTACTGCTCCCCCAGTATTGTCAGGGTGATTAAGTCGAGAAGATTGAGATGGGCCGGGCATGTAGCGCGCATGGATGGGACAAGAGGTGTGCACCGGGTACTGGTTGGGAAACCTGAAGGGAAGAGACCGCTGGGGAGACCTAGACGTAGATGGGAGGATAATCTCAGGCGGGATCTATGGGAGATAGGAGTTGAAGGAAACTGGATTTTGTTGGCCCAGGACAGGGTCCGGTGGAAGGCTTTGGTTAATTCGGTGATGAACCTTCGGGTTCCGTAAGCCATCTGGTTAGTTGGGTCCACTATTTGGGAAGCCTGAGGGGAAGAGACCGCTGGGGAGACCTAGACGTAGATGGGAGGATAATCTCAGGCGGGATCTATGGGAGATAGGAGTTGAAGGAAACTGGATTTTGTTGGCCCAGGACAGGGTCCGGTGGAGGGCTTTGGTTAATTCGGTGACGAACCTTCGGGTTCGGTAAGCCATCTAGTTAGTTAGTTAGTTAGTTTCGGAGATGTTGCATCCATCTCTTACAAAGCCTTTGATTCATGGACTTCATATTAAGAGATATATAAGTAACCACGCCAGTAATTTATTTTGATTGTAGCTAAAACTGAGCGTTTTTGTAAAATATGACAAATGATGGGTACGAGATTAAAAAAAATGACGATGAGGATCCCCTTTCCCGACACTTGCGACAGAAATGAGAACTTTTCCGGGAAGGCGCCACTCCTTGCAAACAGAGTGCACAGGCAGAAAGAGATTCCCAATATTCCCCACTACTGAGGTGCATCAGACCATGGCTGAATCCAGAGCAGACCATTAACAACCAGCGTGCTGCTACAAAGCGATGATTTGTGTATGAAAATGAGGCAAGTAAGTGGCTGCGGGGTTGGGGGCTGTCGGCGTCACGGCACATACATTTTGCCTGTCCCTCTCCCATTGAGGAGGACCTCTCAGAAAACGTGCAGTTGTCGCTGCGAAATTAGGCGCAGGTCCACCAGAGCGCGTGAATGTAGCATTCCGAATATGTAAGGTAGGTTTATAGTTTAACTCTTCGCTTCATTTAACCCCGCTCCTAATATATATAGAGCATAAAACACTATTCATAAGATGGTAAAGTTGCGTCATATTGTGATATAATAAGTATATATTAAATTATAATATAATGATGGTCTAATGTAAATCGAATATTTCGATAAATAACATCATTTAATATTTTAAATATTTTAAATGTTAATTATTGTAATATTTTAATATTTAATAAGAATTATTGTGATTAGACGGACAAAATTTTCAGAAAACATAAAACACGTAAAAAACATATTCTCAATTTCCACTTTTTATGAAAGTTTGACGTTGCAAATGTGGATAAATTTATCTGGTAGCTTATAACTCGAGAAAGGATACATTAATTTCTACCAAACTTGGCAGGCTTACACCTTAACATCAGAAAGAGAAAATAGCATGTAAACTACTCCTAAAAAGCTTCCTAAGTTCGATTCCCTATGAGGTTGGCTCGTGGTAGCACCTACATCCGTATTCGGAAAAGCCCAGGGTTCAAAGCTCGGTCCGACTATCATGATTGAGGTTTCTGGTGGTTAATCGCCCTGATGATGGAGGCAGAAAGTAACTCTGAAACTTCGGTAAACTTCTACCAGACAACACGGCGCAAAAACCCAGAAGATATCCATCTTCGAAATAGAAATTAATTATTGTGTTTTAAATGTACTGAAGATTAATGTATCCATATTCCATTAGTAAGAAATAAAATAATTCTGTGATAAAATTAATGTGACTGAGAAACACGTGAGGTGTATGAACTCTGAACCGACCTGGACTCTGGCCTCGCTGAGGTTCACGCGTCTCGCCAGCTCCTCCCTCACGAATGCGTCCGGGTAATGCGTCCTCTCGAACACCCTCTCCAGGGCGGTCAGTTGGCCCGTCGTGAAGGTGGTTCTGTTGCGACGAGGCTTCTTCCGTTTCCTGTCGTCGCCATCCAGAATGCTGTCTTCTTCTAGGAACAGAACAAATAGACACTTCAGTCGACGTCAGTATTCTATAAAGGTTAATTAATTAGGACGTATCTAAATTTCGTAGGTCATTGTCCATTGCCTCGTATATGTTTTATACAATCGACGTTTCAGGGTTTCATTTCACTTCTGGCTTCAGATGGATGATTCAAATTAAGCTAATGTTTCTATTTGTACTTAATTAAACGTTAGCGCGTGTATTAAAAACAAATTTCATGGGACTTTCCACACGGTTCAGTGTCCTAGATCATAAGATTCATATTCAGAGGGTTTCTGATGAATGTAAAGTTATCCCTGATGCTTAATTAAGCAATAATTATTGAATGGAATTGGAGAGTAGAAGAATTATTTTTTCTCCACAGAATTGGTTATTTAATTAGTTGTGTCGTTTCATAAAACTCATCCGGTGTTCTGTGCAAGGATTTAGCTCCCAAGCCAAAGGATCGCCTCTTGTCGGCTGTTCTTAATATATTAGTAGTTTTGTTTCAAATCTGGATGTCTTCCTCAGAATCCGCGACCTATGTAGTTTAAACAGCGTAAGTACGTAACGTAAGAATTTATCATTTAGCGTCATCATTATTATTAATAAGTGTTCTGTCTTAGGACAGGTCCATTGCTCTGCCCAAAAAGAGCTCTCCAGTTGTCCCTATTCTCGGCTTCTCGCTTTAATTCCTGGAACGTCATCTTCTTTCCTTGTTTAAGGTCGTCGGTTAGCTGTATCAATCTTCTTCCTAGTCCTCTCTTTCCTTCAACCTGGCCTTCGGTGATATCACTCATTAATCCATTCCTTCTCATAATATGTCCCAGCCAGTTAGCTTTCCTTCGTGTAATCGCATGCAGAATGTTTCTTTGCTCGTTGACTCTCCTCAATACTTCTTCGTTGGTCACTCGATCCGTCCACCTGATCTTCTCTATTCTTCTCCAACACCACATTTCAAAACTCTCCAGGTATTTCTGTTCCTTCTTCCTGAGAGCGTCATCATACGTGGGAATATTATAATGTCTTATTTTTAGAAATATGGATAAATGCTAAATCTCAACGCTTCTACAAATATTGAAACATAATTTAAATCAAAGAAGCTGCAAATAGGAACATATTAAAACCCTTCTTACATCTCTTATCTTTGTGGAAGTTAAATACGGTGACAAGACATCGTGACAGGATTAGAATAAAGGTCGAAATGATAGAATGTATGTGACAACGGCAGGTTATAACCTGGTTGACCACAAACGAAATTAAGAAATGTTATAAGAACTGAGAACTAATTCTTTATAGGAAAGACTCCGTGAGAACTATGAAAATATTAAATTTGTATCTTATATGCGTCATGTTTGTGTTTGATTAAATATATTTATTTTGTACAGTCTATACACAAACGTTTCAAGTTTATTGGTGTTGTAAAAAATTATATAATATTAAAACATTTTATTGTGTAAAATATTATATTAGCGCTCTTAATCGTAAATACGATTTTACATTATATTTTTTAGCGCTTTTTATTAAAACGACATGTTTCGACGGGTAATATCGTCGTCTTCAGGTTTTTATAAATTTAAAAATATTTTAAAAACTATTAGATATTTAATGCAATATATTATAATGATCCGTAGTTCTGTTTGTAGCTTTCCATTTTCATGGTAAGTTGCTTATTGTAGTCAGACGTTATATTTATCTGTGGAATTAATGTTTAATTATTTTCTTGGAATGAGTATGAATTGACATATTAATCTTTAAAGTAGACTATCAGATGTAACACTACAGCATCTCAGAATAAACCCCACTCTGTTTAGTATGTGGGAGAGAAGCTGGTAGACCCAGCGGAATGTAGCTAATTCTGTTTGGACGTCCCCAGATTAGCTGGTATATTTGTCACCCCGAGTCGCTCCACCATTAACACTTCTGTGAGGCTGAGCGGAGATAAATGGCCTAGGAGGGCTTGAAGTTAAGACAAGCAGAATACTGACACTGTACCCCTACAATAATAAGACTACAATTATTAAACTGGCAAAACTGTTCGAGTCGAAACTGAATATTGTTCGATTTTTACTGAGTAAGGTACAATAGGCCAAGAGCTGATCTGATTATAATAGAATGTAAAATTTGTTCAATTTCTAAAACTATTCTTGAACAACAAAGCTGTAGATACACCAATGTTCTGCTTTTAACATATTCTTTATCGCTGTGATAATAGATGCAAGATATTGTCATACGTAATGAGCCAAATAATTTCTGATCAAGATATTCCAGTTAATTACGTAATAGGAGTTATCACAACACGTTTCATTTCGGCATTGCATTCGATCTGAAGAAAGAAATAAATTATAAATGAAGGGAAAAAATGTGACTGTTACTACCAACGCAACAGTTTCTTTTAGCAAAAGAAAATCATTCACACACAGAAGAAGGCAATGGCAAACCACTTCTGGATCATCTGCCAAGAATGTATATGAACAGGTCCCAGTCCGAGAAAAGGATGGAAGGATCCTGTTCATAATATATGGACCTGTCGTCAGACAGAACACTAAATAATAATAAGATGAGGTGGTCTAGCGGTCAGAACGCTGGCCTTGTAATCCTGGGGGTCTCGGGTTCGAT